GCCCAAGCACCTGGGCCATGCTCCACTGCACTCCCTGGCCACAGCAGAGAGCTGGCCTGGAAGAGGGGCAACCGGGACAGAATCCGGCGCCCCAACCGGGACTAGAACCTGGTGTGCCGGCGCCACTAGGCGGAGGATTAGCCTAGTGAGCCGCGGCGCCGGCCCAATCAGCTTTATCTTTTTTACTTTTCATGTTGGAGTTTGTAATTCTTCTGGAGTACGTTGTGGTTTGATCTGACCTCACTTCCTCCATCTGCTGAGTCAGTGTGTGCCCCGTCCACGGAAGAGTCCTCCCTGCGCATGGCCCTGATGCCTTCTGTCGCCTTCCAAGTCCCCTCATGTGCAGGCACCAGGTTACGGGCTCGCCATTGCCCCATTGGTCTGTTTTCCTGTGACTCTGCTGGTTCCATGCTGCTTGCATAATTATAGTTTGAAATCTGTCTAACTATGTGGTAGGTAAATCTGCCCCCAGCCTGTCTCTCCAGTTGTCTCTTGTTTTTCAAAACTGTCATAGAATTCATGGATCAGTATAATATTTATCAATTATAGAATCAGATGGTCAAGTTCCTAAAAAAAATTATGCTGGCATTTTTTTAAACATACATTTACTTATTTCTGTTTTACTTGAAAGGCAGGCAGGCAGATACCCACACACACACCCCACCCACACAGAGAGAGAGAGAGAGAGAGAGAGAGAGATCTTCTGTCCTCTGGTTCACTCCCCAAATGTCTACAACAGCCAGAACTGAGTCAGGTCAAAGCCAGCAGCCAGGAGCTCAATCCAGGTCTCCCATGTGAATGACAGGGACCCAGGTAGTTGAGCCATCACCTGCTGCCTCCTAAGGGTGTGCATTGGCAGGAAGCTGGGTTGGAAACAGGAGCCTATTCTCAAAGCAGGCCCTCTGATAGGGGATTTGGGCATCCCGGGCAGCATTGTAACCACTGCACCAAGTGCATACCCCCTCCTCCTCCTGCTGGCTTTTTAATTGGAATTTCTTGAACTCTGGAGATCAATGTAAGGAGAAATCACATTATTATAGTTTTGAATCATTTTTGCTCTGTTGCATAGAGACAAAGGAGTTTATAAAACATGTATGGGGAGTAAAGCTGAACGCAAACAACGTCCATTCACTTACCACAAGCCTAAGCAACATGAGCAGTCTTCAGAACGTCTGTGGGAAAGACACATTATCTTTTTGTTCCATTTTCCACGAATGTTCTGAAGTCCCCTGTAGTGCCTCCCACTTGGTAATTCCCGGGTTTTCTGTTGCAGGGCGTTGTCCTGAGACCTTGACCTGTCTGTGTGCTGGGCGCCGTTTGCGGAATGAGGACGCGCTCTGTAGAGCGGCATCTCTGGGAGTGCTGGGGCTTGCTTGAGAGCTCGCTTCCTCCGGGCAGAATCTGTTTGCTTCTGCCAGGTGCCTGGGCACTTGACTTAACAGCTGCCCTTGGCTCAAGTTTTGGGAACCATGCAGACCGGGCAAAATCAAGTTGCACAGTCACACGCGGGCAGCATTCCCAGGGTGTCCTCACTCTGAGAGGGGCCCTTTTGTGAGGCAGAACTTTCTGTAGGAATTCTCCTCCCAGGCTCCCCTCCTCAGGAAGGCTCTGGGCTTGGCCTTTTGTCCCCCATACCCATGAAGCAGGCTGAGAGAACCAAAGCCTCGCCGGGGCACTGGGTTTGCCCCTGGGGCAAAAGCTGCCTTTGGGCTCCGCCGACCTGAGCTCTCGGCGCGGCAGGACTCGCTCAGGCCTCTGCACGCTGCGTCTTTTCTTTCCTGTCTGCTCAGCCACGTGTTTATGATGGTGCAGTTTTGGAGCCCAGTGTTGCAGTGCAATGGGTTAGGCCTCCGCCTGCAATGCCGGCTTCCAATCTGAGTGCTGATTCAAATCCCAGCTACTCTGCTTCTGATCTGGCTCCCTGCTAATGTGCCCAGGAGGGCAGACCAAGATGGCTCAAGTGCTTAGGCCCTCACCCCCCGTGTGAGAGACCTGGATGGTGTTCCAGGCTTCTGGCTTTGGCCTGGCCCAGCCAGGCCATTGCAGCCATTTGACAAGTGAACCAGCCAATGGAAAGATTAGTTATCTATCTATATTTATCTCTATTTATCTCTAACTGCCTTTCAAGTAAATATTTTTAAATTAAAATAATAATAGTTTTTTTATTTTTTAAAGATTTATTTATTTATTTGAAAAACAGCGTTACACAGAGGCAGAGAGAGAGAGAGAGAGAGAGAGAAGGGGAGAGAGAGAGAGAGGTCTTCCATCTACCGGTTCACTCCCCAGATGGCCGCAATGGCCGAAGCTGGGTTGATCCAAAGCCTGGAAGAGCCAGGAGCTTCTCCCAGGTCTCCCAAAGACTTGGGCCATCTTCTACTGCTTTCCCAGAGAGCTAGATCAGAAGTGGAGCAGCCGGGACTCGAACCAGTGCCCATATGGGATGCTGGCACTGCAGGCAGCAGCCTTACCCGCTATTCTACAGCACTGGCCCCATAATAATACATATTTTAAAAAATCTCACGTTTTTCATTATCTTCAGCAAGAGGTCAGTTAGAGTATCTTGGCTTCCATATGGCAGGAAACCAAACTGAGAACTGGCATTTTCTCATTGTCTTGCAAGGTGTCTCACAGGAGCACAGCAGAGTGGTTCTGCGTCTGGGTATAGCTCTGCTGTTACGTGCTGAGGCCTAGTTTGATGATTTTTTCCCCTTCAGTATTTTATATCCTCTTCATTCGATTGTGCCCACGTTCCCACAGAAAGAGGGAGCTGGCCTGCACGGGGCCCACTGGGAAAGACTGTCAAAGGCAGCACCTTGGGGGTCACCAGGAGTTAAAGGGACAGCGGGGGAGGGTGCCAGGGGGAAGCAGGAGAGTGAGCTTGGGTCCCCGTGCAGAGCCGCTCATGGCCAGGTCTCCTCTTGAGCACAGCACAGGCTGGAGCTGGCTCGCGTGGACCCACCGCAGCCACCCTGACGCCCCTCCCTCTGCTCCGCAGGATAACTCGGGCAGCTCCCTCGTGTGCCAAGTAAACAAGACGTGGATTCAGGTGGGGGTGGTGAGCTGGAGCTTCAGCTGCGGCCGGCGCCAGTTCCCCAGCATCTACACCAGCACCCCCCACTTCACCCAGTGGATCAAGAAGCAGATCTCTGACATGAGGTTCGTAAGCCGGGCAGGCTCTGCCCTCCTCACCGGATACATTCTGCTGATCTCACTGGGCTCCCTGTGGCTGCTGTGAGCCAAGTCCCAGATGGTCACTCCGGAGACGGCGTCTCCTGCCCCTCTGCTGCGCGTGCAGGACGGGTGGAGGCAGCAGGTGTCCAGACAGCAGGGCCCAGTGACCTTGGGGACGGATCGCAGATCAATGAAGACCTGTTAGCCACGGAAGATCGTCGTTCTTCTTGACTTTGGCCAGAGCCCTGCAGCTCCCCCTCCCCTGACAGGCCGGTATCCCCCTTGGTGAGCCCTCCCCGAGGGTCTTGCCCATTTCTGCTTCATGCTTGAGGTGTGGCAGGGGAGACCTCTCCCCGCTGTGGGGCTGAAGCCCCTGCCTGGTCTTCCCTGCACCCCAGCCATCCCAGGTACCCGTGGCCCTCCCCAGCTCTCTGACGAGCATTTGTCCAGGGCTTTCTGGGACAGCTGGAAGTTCCTCTTCCCAGGAAACTGCCCTTGTGGCATGCGTCCTGGAACTCGTGGGCCTCTGCCACCCCTTGGGTCCCTCGGGGTCTGCAGAACCCACCCAACCCCTGTTCACTCCAGGCCAGGGCAAGACCGTACCCCGCACTCCTGAGTGGCCTCTGCCGCCTCCATGGGCTCCAGGCTGGGCAGAGGGCCCCTGCCAGCCTCAGGGTTGGAGCAGCCAGCTGCCTTTGCCCCTTGCCCCTTGCCCCTTGCCCCTTGCCCCTTGCCCCTTGCCCCTTGAGGCACCAGAAGAGCAGTGGGTGCGATTTGCCCTCTTTTCAGAACGTCTCTCCCCAGACCTCAGGCCTTGGTGAATGTTAGCATGTCCCGACTTGATTTAACTTTCACCATATCTTTTACTAGGTCAGCATTTTCCAACAGCTTTGAACCAGATTTTGCAGGATTCCCCAAATGACTTTAAAAAACAGATCAAGTAGCAGAGAGAGGGAGTGGGAGAACAAGCAAACATTCCCATCTGCTGGTGCGCTACCCAAATGCCCGCGATGGCCAGGAGTGGGACTGGCTGAAGCCTGGAGCTTCTCAATGCAGATCCCCCACGTGGGTGGCAGGGACCCAGTCACCTCCCAGGGAGCCGAGGCATGTGGGTGCCTGAACCACGTGAGCCTGCCCCTCCGCACACGCTTTAAAGGCTGTTACCCATTTGTGTCACTGAACATCCCGAATGTCCCCCGAAGTCCAACACGCTGAGTGGCCGCGGCGGGGGGGGGGGGGGGGCGGGGGAAGGGACAGCTTCGCTCTCCCCGGCGGCCTCACATTTCCACAGGCAGGGGCGTCGGGGACGCAGGAGCTGTGTAGGGGGTGGGGGTGGGGGGCATGGGGTGGGGGGTTGTTGCTTACTGACGCAGGAATCATTCTTTACCATGCGTTAACCTGCTTCATCTCAGTGCCCTGGGCGAGAGCCCCTGCGCTTTCTGGGCTGGCAAGGTGGGGCTGCGCTGGGCTCGGACGCCAGCCCAGGGCTTTGGGTTCCCTGCACTGCAGGAGAGGGGACAGCAGCGACGAGTCCAGGGCAGTGGGCCGCAGTGCCGGAGAGACCTGGGTGCTGGCCGAGGGTGGGGTGAGAGAGGCCGGAATCCTGCAGGGAAGGAGTACGGTCGCTGGGCGTGGCCTCGACCGCAGACCTCCGTTGCGCCGTGGAAGGGGGTCGCCAGGGGGCGCCCGCGCGGGCCGGGCACAGGAGCGCCATCACCTACTCGCCCGGAGGCCTCGGCGGGCAGCCCGTGGGGGGCGCCATCATTGGGACGGTCACCAGGAGCGCCCCGGCGGAAGGAGCTGGGCGGCGCAGTCGCTGCTCTCCCGGGATGGAGCCCTGGACGTCTGCCCCGTGCCGTGTCCACGCCCTTCTGCTTTTGTTGCTGCTGCTCCTGCTGCTGCTGCAGAGACCCCCAGGTGAGCCCCGCCCTCCGCCCCCCACGCGGGCTTGCGTCCGGCCGCCCCTCACCCTGTGTCCTTCTGCAGGGTGCTTGGGCACGGGCGATGCCTCAGGGAGAGTGTCTGCTGCTGCTGCCCAGGACGACCCCTGCGGGCCCCGAGCTCCCCGGCAGGCCCCAACCCCCCGGGCCGTGCCTGTGACTCCGATTCAGGGAGTACCCTGTGAGTACCGGGGTGTCCACGGGGGCGAGGAGAGTGCTGGGGGGTTTTCAGGCCTTTGGATCTATGCGGGCAGAAGAGCCTGGGGAAGAAGGGGCAGGAGTGGGGGCAGAAGGTATATTTTATTTATTTGAAAGAGTTACACAGAGAGAGAAGGAGAGGCAGAGAGAGGTCCTCCATCTGCTGGTTCACACCCCAATTTGCTGCAGCAGCTGGAGCTGCACCCATCTGAAGCCAGGAGTCAGGAGCTTCCTCCAGGTCTCCCACGTGGGTGCAGGGCCCCAAGGACTTGAGCCATCTTCCACTGCTTTCCCAGGCCATAGCAGAGAGCTGGATCAGAAGTGGAGCAGCTGGGACTCAAACCGGTGTCCATATGGGATGCCGGCACTGCATGCAGCTGCTTTACCTGCTATGCCACAGCGCCGGCCCCAGGACTTTTCCTCTTCTCCTAGTGTTTACCCACTTGCTGTGGGCCACGGCCTGGTCCTAGTGTTTACCCACTTGCTGTGGGCCACGGCCTGGTCTGGCCTGTAGAGTCAGAGCTCCCCTGCTGGTGACATGGGGGCAGGAAAAGCAGAGGAGTGGGCTTCCTGTCTCTGGGCTGACTGTGGGGCCACTGGCCTCTCCCCTTGCTCCAGGCTCTGACCCAGTCTGCACCTGACCAGGGTCAGGGTCCAACTCCCATCACCCCCACCCCGGCAGCACAGTGGTCTGAGCCTTCGCCTAGGGGTCTCCGGGACAAGCAGGGAAGAGAGACCCTTGAGCTACGGTCTTTGACTGAAGGCCGTGTTGGAAACACTTATTGTCCCAAAGGCCAAAGCCAGGAGCCCAGAACTCAACCCAGGCCTCCCGTGGAGTGGTGGGGACCCAAGTGTGTGAGCCATCACCTGCTGCCCCCCAGGGTCGGTGCCCCTGACTTCACTGCCACAGGAGTTCTCCCTGCACTGTCCCTGTTGAATCTCTCTTTCCCGTGTTTGCTCTGAAAATCCTGCTCCTGGCATCCTGACGTTGATTTCCCATCCCCAGTTGGCTTGCAGAACACCTAGGAGTGGGACTACTGGGATGTCCAGAGTACGTGTCTTCGTTAAAAGCTGTTTGCCTAACTGGCTCCAGCAAGTAAGGCTCCCACCAGCAGTGGGCGTGGGTCTGGGCAGTAATCTGCCCTTCCCCCACTTGGTGTCACAGAGTAGACCAGGCAGGTGGCATGGAGCAGAGCCTCACAGAAATTTAAATCTAGGGATGGGAGTGTGGCAACGGGCCAAGCAGCCACTCGCAATGCACGCACCCGCACACCCCATAGTGGAGTACCTACTTTGAGTGCCAGCTATTCTGCTTCTGTTCATTTTTTTTTTTTTTTAGGATTTTATTTATTTATTTGAGAGGTAGAATTTCATACAGTGAGAGGGAGAGACAGAAAGAAAGGTCTTCCATCCACTGGTTCACTCCCCAAATGGCCACAATGGCTAGAGCTGGGCCTATTTAAAGCCAGGAGCCTGGAGCTTCCTCCGGGTCTCCCATGTGGATGCAGGGGCCCAAGTGCTTGGGCCATCTGACTGCCTTCCCAGGCCACAGCAGAGAGCTGGATCGAAAGAGGAGCAGCCGGGACTAGAACTGGTGTATTTATGGGATGCCAGCGCTTCAGGCAGAGAATTAACTTACTGTGCCACAACGCCAGCCCCTGCCCTGCTTCTGATTCAGCTTCCTGCTAGTGAGCCTGGGAGGCAGCGCATGATGGCCCAGGTACTTGGGTTGCTACCATCCACAAGGGAGACCCAGATGGAATTCCTGGCCCCTGGCTGTTAGGGGCTTTAGCAGGGTGAAGCAGTAAATGGAAGATCTTCTGATACATCTCCTGCATGCTCACTCTGCCTTTCAGATAAATAAAAATAAAGAATCTATCTCCCTGAGGACAGATAGGGTGAAGAAGCTCGTGTGGCCACTGCCACTGGGGTCTCCTGCTCAGGCCACGCCTGCTCATGCACATCGCTCACCTTTCTCTTGCTGAGCCACCGGGGCCAGGAGAGGGGCCTGCCTTGCCTGAAATAGGGACACTGAGGGTGGGTCTAGATGGAGACACGGATGAGGGGTCAGCGGGAACCGAGGTTGCTGGGTGGATGAAGGCCCCACCGGGGGTCTCCAGCCTGGGCTGTGGGGCCAGGGAGAGGGATACCTGGGCAGTGCCGAGGTCTTTCTGGGCTCAGTGACCCCCGTCCACACATGCACAGCTGCTGAGCGGAGCAGGAGAGCCGTGGAGAGGTGGGGGGCCAGGCGGAGGACACGGGACAGACAGGGACTGAGCCCTCACTCGGCGCTTGTCTTCCTCCTCAGCCTGCGGCTTCTCTAAGGAGCGGGACCCCACCCTCAGAGACCCGGAGGCCATGGCTCGGCGCTGGCCGTGGATGGTCAGTGTGCGAGCCAATGGCATACACATTTGTGCTGGTACCCTCATTTCCTACCGGTGGGTGCTGACCGTGGCCCACTGCCTGACTGAGTGAGTGGGGGCCCAGGTAGGGTGGGGAGAGGCATTCGGAGCACCAGGGGCCCGGTCCCTCTGCTCAGCTGGTCCAGCGGCGGCAGCTGTGCCCTCTGCAGAGGCCACTGTCCCAGCCCCAGCCTCTCGCTGCCGGGAGCAAGTGGGGGCTGTGTCCCACAGAAACCTTCTGGGGGGCAGTCCTGGAAGCACTGCTGCCCGCCCTTTTGCTCCCTCCTCTGGCCCCTTGGTCCCATGCAGCAGCCCGCAGGCCGGCCACAGGGCCGCAGGAGCAGACCCTGCTGTTTCCTTCCAGCCCCGTGGCTTCCGCTGCCTCGTTCCCCTTTTCCTTCAGTCAAGTGATTGGCAGGCGTGTGAGCCAGCCCAACCTGGCACCAGGGCAGAGGGGTTGAGTGATTCCACTCAGGCTGACGACAGGTGCGCCTGGGGATCCGATCAGAGTGGGTGCCGGCCTGATGGGCGTGCCGGCCTCAGGGGCACACAGGAACGCCAAGGGATGTGCTGAGAAAGGTGGTTTGGGAACCAGGCCATGTCCGATTCCTAAGGCCTCTGGCACCTGCCAAGGAGCAGCACAGGGGGCTGGCAAGAGTGCAGAGCTGGGAGCCGGGGGACACTGGCTTCGCAGCTCAGCCCTGCCACTCCCCAGCGGTGCAGCCCTGAGCAGGGCGTGTGCTTCTCTGTGCCCCAGGCTGTCTCAGTAAGCTGCTGTTGTACTCAGGGCCCTGGAGCAGTGGGTGCCTGCCTGGATGTGCTGGGGGCGGGGGGCAGCAGAGGGGCAAGGGGCAGGGCTGGAGCTGACAGCGGACGCCCCTGGGGCTCCCCAGGAGCAATGTTCACTACACAGTCAAGATGGGGAGCCCGTGGTTGGACCGGGAGGCGAACTCTACCTCCGAAGTCTCGGTGCTCCAAGTCATCGTGAACAGCAGGTTCCGAGCCCAGCGTTACTGGTCCTGGATCGGCCACGCCAATGACATTGGCCTCCTTGAGCTGCAGCAGGTGTCCCGGTATAGCAAGTACGTCTGGCCCATCTGCCTGCCCGGCCCGGACTTCACGGTGAAGGAACAGACCGTGTGCACTGTGACGGGCTGGGGGCTCTCCAAGGCTGATGGTGAGTCCCAGCCTCCCAGCCTGGGGCGTCCCAGCCTGGGGCGAGTGCTGTGAGAGGGGCGGGGCCCCCACAGGCAGGCAGTGCTGATGCTCCTGTCACACTCATCCCTGGAGTCCCCTTCCCTCAAGGGTCTCAGCAGTGAACACATCCAGGCCACCTGGGCCTCGGGGACCCTGATTGCCTTGGCTCCCCTCCCCACCCCCAACTCCCCTGGCCCAGGCCAAGGTGTCTAAGCAGAACTGCCTCAAAGGCAGAGAGGGTGTGAGTAATGCAGGTCACCCCACACCTGGAGCCGAGCCAAGCGTCTGTGTGATGCCCCCGGCAGACCCGGTGGTGGGAGTCACGCAGGGCATCCTGGGGTCCTCGACTCCCTCGGGGGTCCTCAGTCTCCTGCCATTGCAGTTCAGGAACAGGCCCACCCAGGGCTCTGCTTCCTGCTGGGCCTTGGAATGCCCACCTCCTTCAGGGAACAGCCTGGGAGGAATGGGGGTGACGGTGCCATCTCCTGGGAGTGGCCAGGAGTGGTCAGGAGTCACTGTCTCCCAGGAGCTCAGGCTAGTGACAGAGACCCTTGGGGTAGGGCAGGGGTAGGGCCCACACCTGGCTCCATGGAGGGGGGTCTGGGAGAGGTCGGGTGCGGGGAGGCCTTTTCAGAGGGCTTGAAGAACAGGAGGGATGAGGCCTGAGGGAGGCTGGCCAGGCACTGAGAGGGATGCCGAGGGGGTGTGGGGAGATGTGGGGGACCCAGTGGGCTGGACTCTGCAGGAGGGGAGACCAGGTCCAGGAAAGCCAGGCTGTGGGGGCAGTGTCCAAGGAGGGCTCTATGCTGCTGGTGACACGTCCAAGAGGCTGGTGAGGGGCTGGGGGCAGGGGACAAGGCTGCTGACAGGGCAGTGGCGGTGGGCGGCGGTGAGGCCAGGCCTGAGCAGGAGCCCCTGTCTCACAGGCACGTGGCCCCAGTTCCGGACCATTCAGGAGAAGGAAGTCACCGTCCTGAGCACCAAGGACTGTGACAGCTTCTACCACAAGTTCTCCAGGACGCCCAAGCTGGTTCGGATCGTCAACCCCCAGATGCTGTGTGCAGAGGACACCAGCAGGGAGGAGTTCTGCTACGTGAGTGCTCGCCCTGCTCACCCTCCTCCAACGGCACCTGGCAGGTGGGGCTGGGCAGTGGGCACTGAAGACGTGGGAGACGGAGCAGCCCTGGGTCTGGAGCACCTCTCAGCCGTGAGGACCCTAGGGGACCCTGGGGAGGATCTGGTGTGGGGGGTGCCTCGGGCTGAGTCCCCTCCCCGACAGGCCTCACCTGGGCTCTGACCCCTTGTATCTCCAACGGGTCCCCGCAGGAGGAAACTGGCGAGCCCTTGGTCTGCCTTTCGGGGGGTGCATGGTACCTGCTGGGGATGGCGAGCTGGGGTGCAGGCTGTGAGAAGAGACAGGCCCCGCCCATCTACATGCAAGTCTCCTCATACCATCAGTGGATCTGGGACACCCTCAACAACCTGCAGCCCCAGGGCCCGCCAGCCCCCTCCAGGGCCCTGCTCCTGGCCCTGGTGCTGCCCCTCGCGCTCCTCACTGCTGTGTGACACTCTGCATGCTGTCCCTGGGCACGCCCCCCCCCCAGGCCCCTCCTTGCCCTCTGCCCGGGGTGCTGCAGGTGCAGCTCTCAGAGCCCTGTGGGCCAGGGCGGAAACTAGGCACTCAATTAAATGCTTCCCTTTCCCACGCCTCACTTCTTCCCCAGGCCTGGGAGGCCTGCGCTGTCTGGGTCTGCTGTAGGGGGGAGGCAAGTGATCTGGATGGTGAGGGTGTGGGGGACTGCTGAAGAGTGTAGGGCCCCTGGCTGGCGCCACAGCTCAGTAGGCTAATCCTCTGCCTGCAGCACCGGCATACCGGGTTCTAGTCCTGGTCAGGGCACCAGATTCTGTCCCAGTTGCCCCTCTTCCAGGCCAGCTCTCTGCTGTGGCCCAGGAGTGCAGTGGAGGATGGCCTGGGTGCTTGGGCCCTGCACCCGCGTGGGAGACCTGGAGAGGCACCTGGCTCCTGGCTTTGGATCAGCGCGGTGCGCCGGCCGTGGCAGCCATTGGAGGGTGAACCAATGGCAAAAGGAAGACCTTTCTCTCTCTCTCTCTCTCTTTCTCTCTCTCTCTCACTGTCCACTCTGCCTGTCAAAAAAAAAAAAAAAATGCAGGGCCCCTAAGATCTATGTCCATGAAAAGACTCGGGTTGGCTACTGTGGGACAGCGGGACATTGGGTCAGATGATGGAGGGCCTAGAAAGTACTGCCAGGATGCTGGGGCGGAGTGAAGCTCTGACTGCCTGGGAGGGGAGTAGGAGTCAGGCTGTCCTGGACTTTGGCTGCCTCCTGGCCAGGGGCTGGGACACACCTCCTGTTACTCCGAAGAGCTGTAAGGCACCTTGACCCTCTAGTTTTGCTCTTGCCTGGAGCCCAGGGCAGGTGCCCACTGAGGCCAGGCAGGATCCCTGCTGTCAGCAGCCACACCAGCCCACCAAGGGTTAGTGGAGGCCACAGGGCAGGGGGCTGGAGGTGGATGGAGCCCAGGACTGGACTGCCCCTCCATTGTCTTGTGTGACCCTAAGTGGCCCCTGCCCCTCTGGACTTGCGCTGTCTGTGTCTGGCCACACAGGAGGGTTTGAGCCTGAATGGGTAGAGTGGCTGTGGTATGAGAAGCCCACAGGCGGGACTTAGTGGGCAGAGGTGGTGGAGAACCAGCTGCTTCCGTGGGCAACCTTGTGTGTCTTGGCCTCTCAGACCCTCTGCTCCTTTTCACATCAGCCTGGGCATCCGTCCCTGTGTTGTGATCTGGGTCCAGGCCAGGCACCCGTGTGACTCAGTTCTGAGTTCCCAGCCCTGGGCACAAAGGCACGAAGGCACAAAGGCCTGGGGCAGCCGAGGGAGCAGCAGGCAGCTGTCCTCCATAGGCCTGAGGTCTGCCTCAGGGGAGCCAGGGGCTGCGGCTGCTTCTGTCTCGGGTTCACCTAATTCATGCTGGGAGATGAGCCAGGGAGGGAACGTCATCGCTCGGCCGCCTACCGCATCAACACCCCAGGGACTGTGTGTGTGTGTGTGAGTGTGTGTATGTACGTATGCAGTGTGTATGTGAGAGTGCGTGTGTGAATACACCTGTGTGTTTCTGTGTCACTATGTGAGTGTATGTGACTGTGAGTACATGTGTGTGATTGTGTGAAAGTGTGTATATGTAACATGCACGTGTGTATGTATGTGTGGTTATGTAAGGGCACCTGTGTGTGTGTGTGTGTATGAGAGTGAGTGAAGGCCCTCCCCTCCCCTGCACTCAGGGCTGTGTCCCAGCAGGCTCCTGGCCGCCTCTCCTCCTCTGAGCACCTCTGTGACGTTCTGCTCCAGGCCTTCTGGAAGCGCCTCTCAGCATCTCCTCTCTACTAGCATTCAGGCCCCGCTGACGTTGGGGCCTTTGGCTTTGGCTGGAAGAAGCTCCTTGCAGGTGGTGGGCAGGGAGCGGGCAGAAGGGAGCTGTACGCTGTTTTATTCAGCAGGTGGAAGGCTGGTAGAACCCACTCCCTGCCGTGAGCCCAGCAGGCGTCGAAAGGGCTACCAGCACAGCTGCGGGTCCCCGTGGCTTCTCAGATATCCCCGATGCACCCCAGCAGCCAGGGGTCTCTTCCCTGCTCTTTTCCCTGCTGCCTCAGGTCCACCCGTCTCAGCCCTCTGCTCACTCCTCTGGTCTGGAACCCTTTTCCGCCCCCTGCCAAGAGTAGGGCAGTCTCCCGCCCCTCACAGCGGCTGCCTGGCCCAATCTGAGCCCTCCTGCTCTCCCAGTGTCCCCCTCTTCCCACTTCCCTCTCTCCCTCTTCACAGCTAGGCTGAGGGCGGCCTCACCCCCACCGTTCAATTCAGAATCCCACACAGCCACGGCCACTGCTGTCCTTTGAGGAGTGGGTGGGGCCGAGGCACACGTGGGCAGGGAGCGCAGTGTGCGGCTGCTCTGTATCTGCAGGGTGGCCCAGGCCACCTGTGCTGAGCACAGTGCCCACAGGGAGGGCATAGGAGCAGTGGGATCCAGCAGGCACCTGCTGGCTGTGGGCCTCTGCTTTCCCCTCTGGCCACCGCCCTCGGTTCTCGCATGAGCTGAGTCCAAGTCCCCGGACTCGAGCTCCAGGGCCTGCGAGCCCCAGCTGCTGCCTGCAGGGCGCGCTCCTCATTTCTCCCCTTTCTTCTTCTTGGCCTCATTCTTCTCGTCCTCTTCTACCTTGATGGCCACTGTGTCCACACTGTCCTCTTTCTTCTTCTTCTTTTTCTCCTCTGTGGGGAGGGGAAGAGGCCGTGAGACCAGGGCCCGGCAGCCTCCAGGGGCCTGCCCTTTCCTGCCCAAGTCCCGCCTGCCTGTCCCACTGAGAGTGGACTCCTGTTGTGTTATCCTCACTCCGATCAATCCCTGAGCTCTGGTCTCCTGGGCCTGGGCAGCTCCCCTCTCTGAGCCTGAGAGCAGGCTGACTGCAGGCAGCAGGGCCAAGGAAACTGGAGAGTGGCTGGGGCTGGCCAGGGTCTGCTCACCTCCCGGGATCTCCGTGAGCTCATTGAGGGGTGGCACGGTCTCCAGCTTGTCTGTGTACATCTTGGCTGCCTTCCGCTGCAGGTACCGGGCTTCGATCTCCTTCCGGGTCCGTGGCACACGGCAGTTGAAGACACAGCACAGGGTGATAACTGGAGGGACGATTGGGCAGGCTTGGTCTCTGGGAAGCAGTCGGGGCAGGCCTCGGACATCGGAGAGATGACACCCAAACTTCTGGCCTACCTCCATCCTCTTCTGAGTGCCCCCCCCACCCCCCGTGGATCCTTGGGTCTGGGGTCCCAGGTAGCTTCTGGAGCAGGGTTGACTTCATGCATAGGTGCTGAATGCAGACAGGTTTGTGCTTGGTTTAATGCTCTGCTGCCAGCTTTTACAACTGCTTAATGCTTACACAGGGGCCTTGTATTCTCATCATGCCCTGGCCCTGTGAGCCGTGCAGCCAGCCCCAGTCCTCAGGGTCTTTTTGACTGGGGTGGGGGTCCAGCAGGGGAGGTCCTGGGCTGCATCCTGACTCGTGCTGGAGCTCCCTAGAGGCTTCTGGGTTGCTCCCAGGGCATCCACGTTTTTCCTCCCCAGGCTCCAGAGAGCTGGGCCCGAGCTGGCTCAGACACTCACGGACGTGACTGTCCCCAGCCTCCCCGAGGATTCCTGCCGGCCTGGGAGGGAGCCTGCTGTGACAGGGCCCAGACCCGGCCCGGGGCGTTCCCCTCACGGAGTTATTCCCGCGGTGGGTTTCCGGCCAAGGGCTGCTGCGCCCACGCCAGTTGGGCCGAGGCGTGGAGTTGGCCTGTCCTCTGATGGGCAGGGCAGGGCTGCCAGGACCTGGCTGGCCCGGGGTTTACTTTTCTAAGGCCCCCACAGTCTGACCACCTTGACCCCAGCCCCAGGGGAAGGGACGGAGCTGCTTCCTATAATAAATCAGATGACATAGCTTCCTGGCAGCCTCCCCGGGGCAGACGGGAGCGGGCAGGACAAACGGGCTATTTTGGGGAGGACGGGTCAGACCTGTGTAGCCTGGGCTGCAGCGCCCTCTGAGTTCATCTGGTGCAGCAGGGCAGTACTCCTTCAGATAAATACCAGGGTCCTTCCGAGAGCTCACAGAACATAAAATAAAAAGCTCAGTTTATTTTGGTGCCAAAAAAAAAAAAATCAAAATCCATGCTTATGAAGGATTATGGGGAAATGAGTATTATTATAAAAAGATGCATGGATTTCAAAAAATTTTTGCACCAAAATAAACATCTGGTAGCTTCATTTCACATCAATTTTTGAAGTCTTATACTGTGGTCCTGTTTGGTCTCACCCAGGCCCTCAGGAGAAAGAGAGGGAGTGAGTGGGCTGGCCCCCACGCCAGAGCCGGGAACAGGACTGGGCTCCCGAGGGGAGGATTGGGAGTACACCCGGTGTACACCGGTCTGGGTGTACGTGCATGCCTTTCTTACCCCAAAGGCTGGACTCTGGTCTCCTCCAGACCCCTGTGTGTGTGCCTGAGACCCAAGACTGGCCCCTGACCTTTACCCTGCTGGCTTGGGGCGCCTCCCCAGCCCCTTCCCACACCCCAACACGCACCAGACATCTCCTCAGGACCGTGCCCATCCAGGCTGCATGGAGGCTGAAGCTTCAACGGGAGCCTGCGGGCAGCTGCGGGCAGTGAGGGCCGGGCTCAACCCCACTGTCCCTCCAGCACTGCCCCTCCCAGCCTGCCTGCTTGCTGCTCTTGAGTTCCGGGACCCAGGCGGGGGCTTGGGACGTGGGATCCTGGGCTGAAGGAGGCCCCCAGGGGCAGCCTTGCAGCCCAGCCCCTTTGCCTGTGGGTTCTGGGCAATCAGCGCCACCACAGAGGCCCAGGCAGACTGGGACGCAGCAGCCGTGTGCTGTCCCGGGAGACGGGCTGTGCAACGGGAGGTGAGCGGTGGGCCGCGGTCCTTGAGGGGATGTCCGGGTGCCTCCTGGGGTGTGCAGCTGTGCAGCCGTCTGCTCAGGCCGTGGGCACCTCCTCCTCGGTTTCCGGTCAAGCAGAGCCCGGCAGAGGTGCCACAGTAACCCCTGCCTCCTGGGGAGCCCCAGGGCTGCTCTTCGAGCTGCGCCCTGCACTGCTGCTGTGGCCCCTGAAGGGCCGCGGCCTCAGCCAGCCCCGGCTCTGGGTGCTGCCTGCTGTCTCCCTCCCAGGGCACCTGTGGGAGCGGCCTCCACTAGGGCGCCACACTGCTTCTGGGCCTCTGCTCAGAACAGAATGCAGCCTCCTGCTCACATGGACTGGGGGGTTATTTTCCCTTCCCGGGGGGCACTTCTGGTGGCAGGAGAAGCACATGCAAGTCAGATGTCACACATGTGGCTTGGGGCCCTCACATCTGGACTGGCCCTTTGTGGGGGCCGCCCTGCCCTACAGGAAGGCTCCAGCCAGAACCTCGGCACGTTAGCCCCCAGGAACTGCCTGCTGGGGGTTACCTGGGACCATGTGTGGAGTGGGTAGCCCCAGCCTCTGCTCATACCGAACCCCTGCCGGCCTTGCCTTTCCCGGCTGTAGTGGAGAGGCCCGCTCCAGGAAGCCTCCATGGGGAGTGGGTTTCTTCTCAACTCACGGCCCGCATCCCCATCCTCCACCCCTGCCTGTGGGAACCTCTGCCACGCATTCCACGTGACTTCTGGCCCCTTCTCGGGCTCAGACTCCCACAGTGTCAGGGAGGAAGAGTGGGGGTGGGGGGAGGGGACTGAGCTCATTTCTGCTGTGACTTTGCACGCAGAAGACCCCAGCAGAGGAACCGACCTCCTGCTTTTAATTGAGACGGCCGTGAGTCATTCCCGGGGAAATGGCGTCCGACGAGGCTGGGTTCGAAGCCCGGGAGCCACATCTGCCGGGCATCTGGGGCCTCTCGGGTGGAGGGCGGCCTTTCTGGGGCCTTGGGCGTGGGCTCTGTAAGCTGGCCCGACTGCAGGAAAAGCATCAGGAGGCCAGGCACGAAGGGGAAAATGACATGTCCTCCTCCTCCTCCTGAGTCCCCTGTAATTACCATAATTGCCCTGTGGCTGCCTCCCCAGGCCCGGCAGAATACTTTGGGTCACCACTGTCCCATCAGCTCTCCGTGGGGACTTTGTGTGGACCAGGAGGTGCCAGAAACCACCGTGGGCCTCCTGCGGGTGCCTGGCCAGCTCGCGCTGCCCGGAATCGCCGCTGGGAGCCCGCGGGGGGTGCTGTGCGCCCGCTGTGCTGGGGCGGAGAAGGCAGGGGCAGCTACTCACTGATGGACAACACGAAGAGGGAAAAGATGCCCACCACGTGCCACAGGCGCATGTCCCAGAACACCACTGTCTCCTTGGTCAGCGGGGGTGGCTTGGGCTTGGGCGGAGCCGTGCTGGGCTGTGGGGCAGGAGAGAGGGGGGTGAGCAAGGAGGCAGAGGCCAGTGGGCTGGGACTGGGCCAAGGGGGACCCAGGTCTCAGCCAAGCATCTCTGCATCTCCTCTAATCAAGCGTCCTAAACATTCACAGCCAACACCCTAGACTTCGGAAAGTTCCAGATTTAGAACGAGAGGACCGAGCAGGGCCCCAGACCACAGAGCTGGGGACTGGGACTGGGCATGTGGCTGATGCTTGGGGAAGCCAAGTCTGGATGACCAGTCCCAGCCAGGCTCAGGGCCTCCCACTCCAGCCCCGGGCCCCATGCAGGTAGATGGGGTCTCAGGACCAAGGCCAGAGGCACAGGCAGCCCAGGGCCACACTGGGACTGGCTTTGTTCCTTTGGCTCCCCAGTGGGGTCTGGGAGTGGAGGTAGGAGTCAGGGCCCCAGAGCCCCTCCAGTCAGTGAAGACCTCCCCTGGGTAACCTCGCACAGTGGTCTGCGCTACTGGGAGTCACAGTCATCAGGTCAGGACAGAACTAGATAAATTGCCTGCAGTGCAGCAGCGACACCTGGAGGCCAAAACATAGAAGTGCTCTGCTGTGAACCTGAGCGGGGCACTGCCGGCTCCCTGCTCTGCAGGACTCAGGGTACATGACCCTGCCCCAGCGTCCAGGCGGCACAGATCTGCCCCATGTATGAGGGGGCCTGGTCTTGCCCTGGGCTTCTAGGAGAGACTCAGGGTAGGAGACGACACTATCCTGTCCTAGGCCTCCAGGGGACATGGTCATACCCCAAGATAAAAGGGGACATGGCTCTTCCCTGTTGTTTTAGTGGCCTTGTCCTGAGGGGACACTGGCTGCCCTGTGGAATCTGAGCAGGACCTGTGCCTGACCAGAGAGGAACATGACCTTGTCTGTTGCAAGTTTGGCTGTGGGGAGGGAGGGGTTAAACACCCAGAGCAAGAGAGGGGCGTGACCTCTGCAAGGCCTTGTCCCTGGCTCACTGAATGGGGGGGGGGGGGGGACATGAAGGAGTCCCTCTGGCTGTCCTGGAAACAGACACGACCTCTACCTCAACACCCCTACCCGCCATGATGCTTCACCCTGGTCCTTAAACACAGACTGGGCCCCTTCCTAAGCCACCTGACGACCACCACCCTCCAGCGTGGGGGGGGGGGCACTCGCAGGGGGCCAGCAGTGTGCGCTCCTGTGGGTGCAGGGTTCCCTGGCGGAGCTGCGGCAGGACCTCAGTTTCTCCACCTATGAGAGGAATGGGTCATTCCAGAAGCCTCGGGGGCGTTGTCTGCACCCCACCTGATGGGGACACTGACAAGAAGGCTCCTGTCCTCAGCATGTGTTCACGTGGGGAACACGTGGGTCAGGCACGCACGTGTGGGGCTGGGCACATTTTGTGCGTACAGGGCCCACAGTTGGAGTCTTGGACCAGAGGCAAGTTCTCCCATTCTGAGCTCACATCCCCTGGGGGAGAAGAATCCCTGGCTCACAACGGACTTGACCCCTGTCCCAGCCTTCTGCCTGCGCCCAGGCCAGCTCCAGTCTGCACCCGAGGCCTCCAGGCAGCTCCACGGGGCTCCAGCCAGCCTGTCTACACTTACAGGGACACTGGAGCTGACACCTGATTCTGCCCCTGCCTCCTGGACACGCCCCCTGGTCAGCAGCAGCAGGGACAGGCTTCACTGGGGTGCGGCGGCCTGTCCCCATGCCCTCCTCAGGCCCCCCTCGGTCCAGGGCTGTGTCACTCTGTCCCCATGACTCTGTCCTTTCTCTCCCCTCCCGTCCCCTGGACCCACCCCTTCCCTCGAGGGCTCTCCAGGGCACCTCTGCCTGCCCCTGTGTTTCTGTTATCCTGCTTACTCTGTCCCCACATCTCCCTGCCTCTGGCTCTTGGGCCTTCTCCCTCTGCCTTTGTACCCCAGATCTGATGGCCACCTCTTCTCAGGCTCAGTGGGAGTGGGGTGCAGAGGCGGCGGGGCGGCTGCAGATGGCCTACCCTGGCCCTTCCTGACCACCCAGCTCCTCCCGGCTCTCCTCCCTCTTCCCCTTCGTTCCCCCCTTTCCAGACCAGATCTCATCACCAGGGGCACCTGCTCCAAAACCTTCCACTGATTTCCGAGATCACCAGGCGCAGGTCAGCCCCCACTCCCTGGGCCCCGCCCCTCCCATGCCTTCTTGGTCCCAGGGCTGCACCTGGCCGCTCCCTTAAAGGCTCCTCATTCTGCTGCCGCCAGCCGGACTTGGGGTGCTCTGACCTCTTACCCAAGGCTATGCCCCTCCCCTCAGGCGGGGTCTGGGGATGTCAGGAGCAGAGGCTGCTTCCCAGGGTCACAGTCTACACACACCCCTCCCCCCTTAGACTAGAGGTCAAGGAAGCCAGGGGCCACCATGAAAGGAAAGCCTGCAGCAAGGGGAGTATGTCCCCAATTAGACTGGGAACCCCCAGGTGAGGGTGGGTCTCTCCCTCGAGAAATTAGGGTCCCTGGGAGTGGGGGCCAAATGTCCTGGCAGGGTGACACAGGGCTCCAGGAAGGGATAAAGCCAGCGCGCACCCCCAGTCCCCGGCCCCGCGTCGCCAGCCTCACCTCCACCAGCTGCCCGGCGACCCCCGCGAGGCAAACCCCGAGCGCGGCGCCGCCCAGCCCCCAGAGGGGCCCCGCGCCGGGCGGTAGCCGCGCCATCTTCGCGGCGCTCGCGCAGCTGTGGCCGAGGGAACCCGGGGCGATGCTCCTGCCAGGCAGGTGGCTCTCGGTGACGGTGACGGCGGCGGCGAGCTCCGGGCGCGGGCTGGCGAGCAGGCGGGCATCATTTATTCATCGTGGGTGTCGGGTTCCTGTGCCGCCCGCCCCCACCCTCCCAGCAGGATGGGGGCCCGCCGTGTGCAGGGAGAGCTGGCTGCAGACCCCCGGGGCGCCAGGAGCAGAGCTGGGGGTCTGGTCGTCAGTCAACAGGGCCCCCTCCCTTCCCCACTGGGGCCTCACTTCCCTGGAGCAGGGGAGGGGCTGGCCTCTGCCGGTCTCCCAGGCCCTTCCCATTCTGAAGTCTTTGAAAAATGGACTGGACTTGGGGGGCGGACAGAGTGCACAGGTTGCCATGGCGACAGGCGCTCAGGGATGTCCTGGGCCTTCTGGCCTGGCTTCCTGCCCAGAGGCAGCTCTGGTCACTCTGGACACCAGAGCTGCGGGAGGTGGGGTGGGGGTGGGGGAGCAGGGCTTGGTGCAGCCAGAGATGCCAGCTGCAGGGGCTGTGGAAGGTTCCTGAAGGAACCAGCATCCTGTGCCCCGCAGGACAGGGTAGGCTGGGACTTGACTCAGGTCAGCCTGAGCAGGGGCCCTGGCCGCTCCCTGAAGCTGACCCAAGCTGAGCCGTGGTGACCTAGGGTGCAGAGGGTCCGGGGTGAGGAGTTGGGAGGGGAGTGGGGAGACTCCCCGGTTCACTCCCGCCTCTCCTTCCTTGTCATCACTCATCTGCCCACCGGGTGCAGGGAGAGGCAGCCTGGCATCTGCATCACCAGGGACAGCTGGGGAGACCTGCCCGGGGGGAGCCACCTGGTCCCCCCTCCCCCAGCAAGAGTAGCCCTTGGAACTGGGGACCCTCAGGGGCCAGGGCTGCTAAGCGCTCTGGCCTGGAGGAGCCATAGATAGCAAGAAGCAAGGCAGACGGCAGCAGGGAGCAGAGGGCCTGCTGCAGACAGCTTCGAGCCTGGGCAGGACGGGGCTGGGGTGGGGCGGCAGGCAGGACAGCTGCTGGCCCAGTGTGGCTGGCCCCGGGGACCCACTGAGGAACCCTCACCGGGGGCTGGCCGCCCCAACCCCCACCCTCCACCCCCAGGCAAGCAAACAGCAGCTCCACTAAAGCCCAGCGCACTCCCACAGCTTTGCGTCCTCACTCCCTGAGCCCACCAGCCACAGGCCAGGCGAGGGAAAAAAATTTACCCTGAGCAGCAGCAAGGTCACCGTAGGACATGGGGCCAGAGAGGCCAGACTGCACAAACCATTGCTCCTCTCTGCCTCTGTCTCCTGACTGCAGGACAGGGCGGCACAGAGCACCTACAGCGCTGCAGGGATGGACCTGGGGTACCAGCTCTCCTTCCCGGCTCCCTGGGCTCCCACTGGAGGCTGAGCCAGGGGGAGGGGTGTGTTTGTGTTCTGTAGAGTTCATTGTTTCTCTCTCTCTCTCTCTCTCTTTCTCTCTCTCTCTCTCTCTCTCTCGTCTCTTTTAAGATTTATTTATTTATTTGAAAATCAGAGTTACACAGAGAGAGAAGGAGAGGCAGAGAGAGATGTCTTCCATCTGCTGGTTCACTCCCCAATTGGCTGCAACTGCTGTGCTGATCCGAAGCCAGGAGCCAGGAATCAGGAGCAGTTCCAGGTCTCCCACGTGGGTGCAGGGGCCCAAGGACCTGGGCCATCTTCTACTGCTTTCCCAGGCCATAGCAGAGAGCTGGATAGGAAGTGGAGCAGCCGGGACTCGAATTGGTGTCTGTATGGGATGCTGGCACTGCAGGCGGTGGCTTTACTCGCTACGCCACAGTGCTGGCCCTATAGAGTTCATTGTCTTTTTCACCCATCAACCACATGGGAGACTGGGAAGAAGCTCCTGGCCCCTGGCTTTGGTCTGGCCATTTGGGGTGTGCACCAGCGGATGGAAGGGCTCTTTCTCTATCTCACTCTCTCTGTAACTCTCTCTGTAACTCTCTCTGTAATCTCTCTCTGTAACTCTGTCTTTCAAGTAAATGGAATAAATCTTAAAAAAAAAAAAAAAAGGAAGTTTAATGATTTAAATTCCCTTTTCATTGTCTGATGACGGTAAAGTTCGGCTGAAGCAAAAATCAATGCTGTCATTCAAAACTCACAGCGTGAAGAAAATGTACTTCAGCTTTCACACGATGTCTCTCGGCGATGGGTAGGCTCATGTTTTATAACTTCTGAAGTTGTTAAGGCTTAAAGCGGCTCTCCAGTTCTGGAACAAGACGGGTTCTGTGAATGCCTGCCCACCCCCCTGCGCCCCAGTCCCTTACCTGTGGAGAAGCCCCCAGGCACACGGGCAGGCTGGCATTGAGAGCAGTACAGATGCAGCCAGGAGTGGGGTGGGGTCAGGCCGCCTGCCCATCACAAGCCTGCTGTTAAATGTGGCATTGCTATGAGTATGGTTGTCTCTGTTGTTAAATGCACTATAGTGTTACACTCTGTAAAAACCAAACAACCCGTGGGCAGGTGGTTTACTGGTTAAACCACAGTTGGTGCCCACACCCAGTACCTGGGTTCAAGTCCCAGCTCTGCTCCAATTCTAGCCTCTTGATAATGCAAACACTGGGAGGCAGGATTGACAGCTTGAGCACTTGGGTCCCTGCCACCAACATGGGAGATTCGGTTCCTGGCTCTGTCCTGGTCATGGTAGGCATCTGAGGAGTGAACCAGTGAATGGGAGTGCTCTGGGTCAGTCTGTCTCACTGTCTGCCTGTCTCTCTCTCTGCATTTCTTATTACTATATTAAATAAATAAGCAAAATGTAAGGGACTGGCATCGTGGTACAGCTGGTTAAGCTGCCCACCTGCAATGCCATCATCCAAAAGGGTTGTAGTTCGAGTCCCATCTGCTCTTCTTTTGATCCAGCTCGCTGCTAATGTGCCTGAGAAAGCAGCGGAAGATGGTCCAAGTATTGGTTTTCTGCTACCCATGTGAGATACCCGGATGGAGCTCCTGGCTCCTGGCTTCAGCTTGGCCCAGCCCTGGCTGTTGTGGCCATTTGGCGAATGAACCAGCAGAGGAAAGATCTCTGCTTCCCTCTCTCTGTGTAACTCTGCCTTTCAAACAAATAAATAAATCCTTAAAAAATAAAGTTAAAGATTTTTATTTTATTTATTTTAGCGCTAGGCAAGGGTGGGGTCGGGAGAGGAAGAAACAGCAGGGATCTGAGTACTTCGGCCATCACCTGCAGCCTCCCAGAGTGCACGTTAGCGGGAAAGTGGATCAGAAATGGAGGGGCTGGGACTTGAACCCGGGCACTCTGATATGGGATGCAGACTCCCCAAGCAGCATCTTAACCACCTGCCAAACATCTGCCCCCAAACACACTGGAAGTTTTAGAAGAACAGAACAATACTTCACTCACTCGACGCCCGGTTCCTGCACCTGGGTCTCCATCCCCAGTACTGAGCACCACGTTGAAACAGCATGGCTGTGACTTCCTCTCCTGTTGGCTGGCGTGGACTTGAAGCCCCGGGAGGAGGTGGCCCTCAGGTCACAGGGGGGCCGGGGTCTCCAGCTCAGTGTTCTGAGCTGTCCAGTACTGCTTCTTGGGGGGGTCCCCACACCCCCGCACCCTGCTCCCAGCTGAGTTCATTGGGTCTAGGGTGGGGGAGCGTGGCTCCCCGGAAGGCAGTGTTCCCTCCATGGGGGACGTGGGTGCTGGCCTGCACAACCCTGTTTGTCCCTCCCTCTGCTATTTTTAGCTCAGTGGGTTTCCTGTGGGGACCAGTGCAGCCTCCAGGGCCTTGGGGTTGGAGGCTATGGGGAGGCCATGAGCAGAGGCCACGGGAGCCCATGGACACTTCTCTCCTGGGGCACCAGGGAAGCTGGGGGCAAACCGTGGAGAAGCCCCCAGGCACACGGGCAGGCTGGCATTGAGAGCAGTACAGATGCAGCCAGGAGTGGGGGTGGGGGCTGCACAGTCTGAGCCTGTGACACAGTGCCTGGGGCCTGCTGGGAGCGGCCGTCCCTGAACTTCTTGGCCCTAGGCCTGGCCTAGAATAGCTCTGGGGCCGAGCCAGGGTTGGGTCAGAACTGAGTGTTTGTGTACCAAGGCACTGGTGGACATGGGAGCGTGTGGGCACCCTGCACGAGGCTCTGTGCCTGGCTGGGTGTGTCCCCAGAGCCCTAGACGTCAGCCACAGACCTGTGTGCATTCCCCGTGGACCGGCACCTGATTTGCACGCGTGCCCGCATACAGGGCCACTCCTAGGATTGTGCAACAGAGGCCCTGCCTGCCGGTTCCCCCAGCAGACAGGGCCGTGTCCCTGGCCGTGGAAACGCATGTGTGTGCAGGGGTGAGGGAGTGTGTGCATCTGGGGTGGGACTGTGGCCAAGGGCAAAGGGCAGCTGGCCCCAGGGGAGGCTGTCCCTTAGGCACCACCAGAGGTCCTGAGGCCCTACCTGGCCCCAAGCCAAGCATGAACCAGGAAAGAAGCTGGACAGGTGTTGCCCCATTGGGCAGATAATAAAACTGGGCTTGCAATGCGCGTGAATTTGCCCAGTGAGTGGGGCAAGGCTGGCCCCCAGCCCAGACCTCAGTCAGCCTTCCCATCTCCCTAGATATGGCCGAACAGGAAGTGTGCACGCTGGGGAGGGGGCCAACGGGGAGCCCTGCCCTTCCTGCCTGAGCCTAGTCAGCACTGCTTCCCTCAGCTACCTGTCCAGGTGAGGAGGCTGAGGCCAGAGCGGGGAGGGAATAGCCCCTGGACACCTAGCACAAGGTCAGACCTGTCCCTGCCGTCCCATCTGGAGACACCACCTGCTCCTGGGCACTGTGGCCACTCTCCGGCCCTTGCCCTCCCGCCCCAGCCCACCCCCATGTCCCCGGGATCACAGGTCTGCTAAAACCCTGCTCATCCTTGGAAAGAGCCACTCCAGCCTGCCATGCCCCACCTCCAGCGAGGGAGGGGCAGGTGGCACCATTCCACCAGCGGGGGCACTGGGACTCCTGGAGCCCACGTACTGCCCAGGGTCCTGGTTTGGCTTCTTTCTGGAACACTCTGCTGCCTCCCACTGCCCCACAGGGCAGACCTGGGAGGCCTGCTCGGGACGCGACGCTTCAGTTCATTCCACACGAGGGGCATTGGCTCTGCCTGGCTGTGCTGCAGGGTGACACAGGGTGACACAGGCCACCAGGGCTGTGAATGGGGTGGGAGCAATGCCCAGAACCTAAGGGTGGACACAACGCCGGGAGGACCCTGGGGGCCCAGCCCTCTGCTCCACCCGGGGCAGGTGCACCTGGCTGACTTCTCAGGGAAGGTGGTAGGACACCACCAGCGTAGCCCTGGTCGGGCAGGGAGGGAGCGGGCACCAGGGAAGCAGGCTTTTGCCCTGGCGCAGCTGGGCCCGGAGAGGTCACAGCCAGGGGCCCTGGCAGCCATGGAGGGCATGGCAGGGTTGGGTCTGGAGGAGGATGAGGACCCAGGAGGACAATGTCTTCCCCCACCCTTTCCAAGGTCGCAGGCCCTGGCGCAGCCGGCTTTACGCTCCACAGCGCCCTGCTGGACACCGGCGTGGGGGCAGGCAGCTTTCCAAGGTCACAGGCCGCCCGGGGTGCCAGCTTCCAACGTCACCGATCCGCCCAGCGCTCGGCTTGCGCGGTCCCCGTGTAACTTGGGGCGGGCGGGAAGGCCCGAGACTGCACGCCGCGCCACGCGCGGAAGCGGAGGCTGCCTCCCCACGCCGCGCTCCGCGGGCGGGACGCAGGCCCGGGTCCCGCCTCCAGCCCAGCCGGCCGGCCCGCCTCCCGCCGTGGCCACGGAGCGCTGAGGACCGGCAGGGTGCCCGAGGGGCACCCCGAGGAGACCGCGCTGGCCGGGGCGCACGGACGCCGGGCCCCACCCTCGTGAGGCCCCCGCCCGAGGCGGGGCGGGGCGCGCGCGGCGCAGGTGAGGGTGCTCTAGGGGTCGCGCGGCTGTGGGCGGGCTCTCTGGGTTTTTGGGGCGGCGCAGGGGCGGTTCCCCGGGCCGCGGGGCCGCACCCACGGGAGAGGAGGTGCCGCCGCCCCGAGCGAGAGCCGGAGAGGGTGGCGTTGTTCGCCTAGCGGCTGGAACAGAAACTCCTGTGAGTGGCAGGGAGAGGGAGGGAAGAGCTGGGACACGTGCGGCGGAGATAAGGTGGGGGCGGGGGAGCTCGAAGCCTCGGCTAGGGAGCGGAGGAGGGGTGCTTGAGGGGGAGGTGGGACGGGACTGTGGGGAGGGGGCACGTGTAGCCCCGGTGGTCCCTGTCCCCACCGCCCACCACTGGGCATGCTGGCCGCCCAGGGGACCTTTAGGGCATCCAGGGAAAAGCCTCCACAGCAAGCAGAACCAGGAAATACTGGAGTGAGTGCCATGACGGGGTGTGGCGGAGGGGCCAGGCCTGGGGTGGTGGTGGAGGGAGGCAGTGACCGTGCCCTGGGGGGCCCTAGTGTATACCCATGCCAGGAAGGAAGGGGAAACAGAACGTCTGGATTCCTGCGATATAGATGACTCAATTGGTCATGCTCTGTTTGGGCATTCACTCCTCACCCTGCCCCACGCCCCGCGCGGAGCCCCAGAGCTGTCTGGGGCAAGGCTCTGAGGCTGGGCCCTGCCGGGAAGTCGTTGTGTGCCTCAGTGAGTCACCCAGCCTCTGAGTTACCTGGCGCAGGTGGGGCAGGTGGGGCTGGGAGCCAGAGGCTGGGTGTGAGCCCTGCGGATGCTGTGCCTCCGTTTCCCCGCCTGTACAACCTGCCGTTAATGAACCTGTGAGTTGGACGCAGGGAGCAGGTGAGGAGGCCCTGCCCTCTGCCAGTGGGACTGGGGGGTGTGGGGGGGTGCTCCTGCTGGTCCCTGTTCTGTCCGGGTTTAGCACCCCTCCTCTTGCCCTGCACAGCCACACACTCAGGCACGCTCACAGCCACACCTCTGCCTTCCACCCTCCTCCTCGCTTCCAAGATGAAGGCTCAGAGGTCCTTGTCTGGGAGACACCAGAGCAGACTGAGCCCCTGCTGAGCCCCCCCACCCCACTGCAGCCAGGCCCCGCCCACTGGCTCTGCAGCGCCCACCTTCTGCCTCTCCTCTGTGTGACTTCGTTCCCTGGGGTTACACATCCTACTAGGGCCACTGACCTGGAGGGGTCCCCAGAGTTAGGGGTCCCCTGGCAACCTGGGTCTGTCTCAGGCTGCTTTGTAGGGCGGAGAACCTGGGGCCCAAGCGCCCACCCCTAAGAAAGCCCCCTGCATCAGTTTGCCCTGTTAGGGGGTGACCAGTGGTTCACAAAGCTCTCATCTACTCAGAGCCTCTCGCATGGGAAAGAGTGACAGCCCGAGAGGGGCAGGGTCGCGGCCAAGGGCAGGAGCTCTCCTGGGGGGAGCAGCTGAACTGTGGGTAGTTCCAGGCCTTGGGACAGGCGGACGGAGGGCTCTGAGGGGAGAGGCTTTTTCCGGGGGCGGAGAGCTCCCGGCACAGGTGTGGTGGTGGGTAGGGGTGCTGGTGATTTCCTGCAGTGTTTCTTCGACTTGTCCCGAACTGGTTCTTAGTCTGCACCTCCCAGCCTGGCCCACCGTGGCCTCCAACCCTGGGGCATCCTGGTCTCAGTGCAGCTGGCCACCAGCTGGGGGTGGAAGGGGCCTCTCTAGTCCCTGGGTTTCTGGGGGCTCCCTGCTGGGCGCCCCTGGTCTGCCCCTGCCCTGCCGCCGCCATGTGCCCAGGGCCTGGGCCGCCTCGGGGCAGCAGGGGGGAGATGGCCGCAGCTGGGCGTCCGGTGGCTTCCCCTTCCTGCCGCTCCCCAAGCAGCAGGGCGGGAAAGGTGGGGCAGGAATTCCTGGGCCTGCGCTCTTGGCCTCTTGGCTGCAGTTCCCAGGCGCCTCCCTCCTGTGCTCCTGCACAGGGCTGGGCACTGCCGGAATCCTCGGAGCAGGGTAGGACCCTTCCCGCTTGCCCATCGGGTTTGCCTGGGACACCTGGCTGGCCCTGGCTGCGCCCAGAGCCTGAAGGAGTCAGAAAGGAAATGGCCCGGAGGCTGTGAGGCCTCTGGTCAGGTCCTGTGGGCGGTTGAGGGCACAAGTCTGACGGGGAAGGGCCTGGGCTTTGGGGCTGGGTCTGACGGGGAAGGGCCTGGGCTTTGGGGCTGGGTCTGACGGGGGAGGGCCTGGGCTTCGGGGCTGGGTCTGACGGGGGAGGGCCTGGGCTGTAGGGCTGGGTCTGAGCCCAGGCCCCTCACTGCCCCTCCCTGCTGTCAGGACACTTTTCCCAGGTGCTCCTCCCTGCTTAGAAGGTCGCTTACTCCGGGACGGGGGATGCAAGACTGGAGCTCCCCTGTCCACCCAGTGCCCCACCCTACACTGAGAAGGCTCCTTGGCAGGGGTAGGGAGGGTCCAGACCCCACCCCATGCTGACTTGTGTCTCTCAGTGCCCGGCCCCATCTCCTCTGCACCTGACACCGAGTTCTCCCAGAGTCTGCCCTTGGATCCCACTGTTGCCTGGCTCTCGCGTGCTCCACAGCTCCTGTGGCCTGCTGGGGGGAGGTAGTCAGGCCCCTCTGTTGCCCTGTTAGGGTGCTGCTTGGTGGACCGCCCTCCAAGGCCGGGCCCTTGTAGTTCCCCTGCCTGTGTGCATGGCCTTTCTTCCTTATATCTTCCATCCTCCATGGCTCCAGCAGGAAGCCCCCTGAGCCATGGCCTTGAGGACAACACTGGGCTCCTCTGTGTCCAGGTTTCCAGAGCCTTCGATGGGCTGAGGAAGTGAAGAAGGGGGCCTGGCTAGAGCGCAGATAGTACCCTGGGTGCGTGGGATCCATGGTGCGTGTTTGAGCAGAGGGATGAGACTGCCCCCAGCTGGGCTTGAAGAGCATCTGCCCTTTTGGGGAGAAGGCGATGTGCCCCTTGGCAGCTCCGAGCCTTTCCTCCCATTCTTCCAGCCCCCAGAGCGGGCCCGCGCAGAGAGCAGGGGCAGGGGCAGCCGCCAGCCCGGGGTCTCCCCCTTGGGATGACCTGCTGGGCTCACTGCTCAGCTCTGATGTGGGTGCCGATGGTCCTTGCTTCTGGGAGCCCAGTCCAAGAAGACAGGCACCGATCCTCTCCCACCAGTGCTGTCTGGTTCTGAGCTGTGTCCCCCCACCAGGAGCCCCTACGTCTGGCACCCTGGCCATGTGCAGCCCCGAGGAGTCAGCCCTGCTGCGGCTGGAGGAGGGCTTCTCAGCCGCCCTGGCCCACATCAACAGCCTTGTCCTCCAGCCCCTGCTTTCGGCCGGTGAGTCCAGGCAGTCCAGGCAGTCCAGGGGATGTGGGAACGGGGCCCTCAGAGCCCCAGATTTCTCAGCCTTAAATGGGAGTGGTCACACTTGGCATCAGCATCTTCTGATAGAACTGGGCCCTGGCCCCCAGGCTGGCTGCTCCCTTCGCCAAGGGACCCTGAGGGCCCGGGCCATGAACCTGCTTGTAGCCCAGAGCTGGCTGTGCGTGGCCCAGGCCTGGAGACTGCCCTATGCCTGAATTCTCACCTTGCACCCACCGGAGAAGCCCGACCAGAAGGCCGGATACCTGGACCTCCCTGGCGGCCACTCTCAGGGCCTCTGTACCTGTGAAATGGCAGTGGACGGATCCTGGTCCTGCAGGCTCCACGCTGTGGACCTGAAGTGGCCAGGGCCGGGAGCCAGGGACCAGCAGGAATTGGTGGTGGCCAGGCCGTGGCTGTTCAGTGAGGGGCTGGACACCTGCTCCCTCTGCCCCAGCCCGCCCTTCCCCTGCTGAACTCTAGGGGGCACCAGTCCCGTTCCCAGGACCCTGCTGCAGCTCCAGGGCCATGCCCCCTCTCCCGCTCACCCCTCTACTGTGCTCCTACCCCAGCCTCAGAACTCTCAGAGCTGCAGGGTGCAGGGTGCCTGCAGCTCCTGGAGCAGCTGCACGGGAGCACCCAGCAGCTCTGCGCAGTGACGGAGGACAGCCTGTGCTCACTGCGCGAGAGGCTGCGCCACCCCGACTCTGCCGGCCTCCAGTCCCTGCTGTTGCTGCGCGACCCCGACCGCGTCTTGCAGGCACACATGGAGTAAGGCTGCCGACACGGGGCTGGCCTCGGCCGCGGCGGGCTCAGGCTGGGGCTGGTGGTTCTCGCCTGGGGCTTGCTCACCTGCATGGGGCTTGCCTATGTCCAGACGTTAGCCCGGTGGCCTGAGCCTTGGGGCCTCCCTAGGAAGAAAGACTGTGATGTGGTCTGTCTCATTGGGCCGGGACTCGCGGTCGCCAGCACCCAGAGCCAGGCCACCACAGGGCTATAGCTGCCCAGTGGCTGGGATTGGAGGACCCCGGAGCTGGGGGCCCTGCTCTCAGGGTGTCACCTGTACTGCCTGCAGGTACATCGAGTCCTACACGAACTGCTTGGTGGTGCAGGCTTTTCAGAAGGCAGCAAAGAGGAGGAGGTGAGCATGAGCTGTGCCCAGGGCAGCCCTCTACACCTGCAATGTCCGTGGTCCCTGCAGGAAGGCAGGGGGACTGTCACAGTGGTCTGGTCAGCCCGAGGTGCTGCACGGGCTCTGTAGTTCTGACTGGCTTTGGCTGTCACACACACGGGTCAGGGTTTGGGCTGGGGCAGGCCCTGGGGTCTGGGGCAGTGATCATGGCAGGGAGGTGGTGGTGGCGGTGGTGGTGCAGGGGTGGAGGAGGGAGGGCAAAGGCGACATGCGGACCTCCTCCCCCTGCAGCGAGTACTGGCGGGGCCGGCGGAAGGCGCTTCGGCAGCTGCTGTGGGGCGTGAGCCCAGAGGGCTCGGTGGGCACGGTGCTGGTCCAGGCCCTCCGGCAGCCGCTGGCCCACCACGTGCAGCAGTGTGTGCTCCAGCTACTGAGCCTCAGCGGCGCCATCGGGGAGGTGGGTGCTGGGCAGCTTCTACAGGGAAGCCGAGGGAGGGCAGAAATGGGGGCCTTAGCCCTGAAGGAGCTGGCCATGCCTGGGGGCCGAGGGGCTCACACCCCTACCCTGGTGGGCCAGCAGAGACCCGGAGAGCAGATGTAGAATGGGATCCTGGCTGTGAGGATGATGGCCATGGGGCCGAGCTGGAGACACTGGGTGTCCCCTGGGAGCATCTCCAAGACCCCCGCTTCCCCCAGCAGTGGAGGAGCTGGCTGGGGGGAGGGGCTGGCTTTGGCCTTGGTCACACACACATACCGGCTGCCCATCCTGCAGCGTGACCCTGCCCGGGAGCTGGTGGTGCGTGCAGCCGTCCTGTTTGGGAACCTCGAGTCCTTCCTCCGGCAGGCTGTGGACCAGGCTGTGGCCACGCAGGGCCTGTGGCACACCCTGAGCAGCCGGCTGAGGGTGAGTCAGGGCCTGGGGCTGCTGTGTGGCTTGAGCCACTGGCCGTCTGATCCCTGCCTGGAAGGGGGTGGCAGCCAATCTGGGCAGAGCCTCTGTCGAGCCATGCTGGTTCGTCAGCTCAGCGTCTCCGGGGCCAGTCCTGACCTGGCTTATGTCGCAGCCCCACCTGCACGGCGTGTCCTGCCCCTGCCAGGAGAGTCCCTGTGTCCCCAGAGGGAGCTTGGGGAGAGCAAGCGGGGGAGACAGGGCCTGCGAGGGTGGGCTGTGGGAGAGGACCAAGCGCAGCTCCAGGAGACAGGCGCTGTGCCACCTTGTGGGGTGGGGAGGGGGCTGGGAACAGCCCTTCCCGGCCTCTGAGCCCCAGTGCCTGCCTCTGCTCTGGGGGTCTCTCCAGGCCCACCCAAGGAGGCATCCTGGAGGAACCTGGGGTGTGGCGTTCAGGCTAGGGTGCCTGAGCGATCACCCCGGGTCCCCTACCCCCACCCCCCAGGACGTGCTGTGCACCCCTGCTCGCCGGCTCTTGCAGGACAGCCACGACGTGCCTGTGACGGCCACCCCGCTGCGGGCCGAGCGCGTGCTGCTCTTTGACGACGCCCTGGTGCTGCTGCAGGTAGGGTGGGGCTGACCCGAGGTCTTGGGGCTGCAGTGGGGTTCTGGGGTCTGGCCGGAAAAGGAGCAGGAAAGGGACAAGTCGCTGGGACTGCAGACATGGGCTGGGGAGGAGGCGGGGACAGGAAGCGGGTGCTGCTGGTTGGGGGAGGGCAGGCAGGCAGAGCTGACCCTGAAGGAGCAGGGCTATGGGGCTGGGCTGCCCCGGGGTGGGGGGCTGGCCTGCTGCCCCTGTGACGTCCCCAGCACTGACCTCTGTGCCCCTCAGGGTGTTGGCCCGGAGCTTCCTCACAGCCGGGGCAGCGGGTGTTGGCCCAGCCTGGCCAGGGGGTTGGTTCTGATTCTGTTTGAGTTCCCCTCCACTCCTCACCCCGGGCCCTGGAGATACTGCCCTGCCCCTGGGCCCACTGTTGACAGTGCTGGGCCTGCCCTCGTGTCTGGATGCATCGTGGCGAGCTCCTCATACACCCCTGGTCCCTGGGCTGGGCCTGCTCCTCCTCCCCTGGACTGCGGAGAGGCCCCTGGGCCGCCCCAGCTGGTGGGGGTCACCACGTGGACGTGTCCTGGGGGGGGGTGTCGGGTCTGACCCTTGGAGCAGGGGCTGCAGGAGCAGAGGCGCTGAGCGGGAGAGTGAGGCAAGCGCAGGGGTTGCAGCGCTGGCGAGGGCGAGGGTGGCGCTCGGGGGCAGAGGGCAGGCGAGGGGCGGGGCTGGGCTCCGATGACACCTGTGCCACTCTTCTTCCAGGGCCACAGCGTCCACACTTTTGATCTGAAGCTGCTGTGGGTGGATCCTGGGCGGGATGGGTGAGTGACTCCCGCCCTCCGCCCCCGACACCTGCCCCCAGCCCAGGGCCCCGGCTTGGGCCTCGCCCGCGGACCGAGCAGGGGCCTCCCCACCGCCTCCGTCTGCCCAGGTGCGCGTTTCAGCTCCTCACGCCTGAAGACGCATTCTCTCTTTGTGCCAAGGACCGCCAGGGCCAGGTGAGCGGGGCCGAGCTGCGTGGTGGCTGTCGGGCAACTGGGGTCAGGGGTCAGGATCCCCCAGGGAGTGGGGGGCCCCTCTCGGAAGCCAGAACCGGAGCCTGACTTGATCCCTGCTCGCAGGTCTCGTCCAGCCCCTCTGGACGGGCCCTGTGCAGGGGGCGGGGATCTCAGTGGGGCCAGGAGCAGGGTCCTAGGAGCAGTCGGAGGTGCCCACCTCCTCGGGGGACAGAGAGGGACCCAGAGCTGCCCCAGAAGGCTTCTCACAGGGGCTGCCCTGGCAGCCAAATGGCCTGAATTTCTCCGTCCACTCCCACCAGGCGGTCTGGCAGTGGAAGGTGACCCGGGCTGTGTGCCAGGCCCTGCGGGGAAAGAAGGACTTCCCTGTGCTGGGGGCTGGCCTGCAGTCATCGGAGCCCCCCGCCTACCGCTGCGGAGCCTACACCTTCTGCGCCGAGGGCCGGTTTTGCCGTGCCACCTACGAGGGCGAGTGGCAGCGTGGCAGGCCCCATGGCAAGTGAGTAACTTGGCTCCGGGCCGGACCCCCACCCCTCGGGGCTCCCTGGGGGTGGTGGGTGGACTCTGCGGAGTCTGCCCCCAGCCCTCCTGGACAGGGTCAGTCCATGCCTGCCGTGGTCCCTATGGGGACACGCTGAGCAAGGCCAGCCACAAGCCCCCAGGGCTTTGGAGGGGAGAGGCAAACTGTCACCGCTGCACCCTGTCTGGGGTGGGGCGGGGCTTGTACACGTTCTGTCTGCACGTCACCAGGAGAGATGCTGAGCCTGGTGACTGGTGTGCCCTAGCAAGTCTGCAGGCAGGTTCTAGGGCGAGCCTGGCCTTGGTCATGGGTCTGTGTGACCCTGCAGGCTGGCAGGCCTTTAGAGAGCGTGTGCCCCATCTCACACTGTGGCTGGGAAAATGGAGACCCTGAGCGCAGGGGGGCTGCATAGAGATCGCCCTCTCAGGCACATCCCTTACCCTTACCAGCCTGCTTCCAGAAAGAGCTTGAGGAGGCTTGTGAACAAAGTGTGGGAAAACAGTGCCTCGTCAGAAGAGAGGAGCCTCACTGACTGGCACGTAGCCTGAGCTTAGCATTTAGCTCTGAGCCTCCTGCTGGCCAAGGGCAAAAGGGAACCTAGACGATTGCAGGCTCTCTGGGGTTTGTGTTGAGTGCACTTGTGCCAAGTCTCGAGAAAGGCAGGTGGGGCCTCCTGGGGGTACGGCGAGGGTCTCGGAGCTGTCGGGAGGGCAGAGTCCCGTCCAAGGGGGAGCCTGGGGGTGAGGGAAGAGAGGGCCTCTGAAAGTGTGGCCGAGGCGGCTGAGGGAGGGACGGTGGGCCTGATGCCCGTGGATGCTTGCAGGGGAACCCTGAAGTGGCCAGACGGGCGCAGTCACGTGGGCGATTTCTGCCAGGGCCTGGAGCACGGGTAAGGCTGGCGGGGGTGCAGGCCCTGAGTAAGGGATAGAACTCAGCCCAGCTTGGGGAGCAGGACGACCGGAGGCCCCGGGGTGCCTGGGGCTGCCACGGAGAGGGGCCCTGGGGAGAAGCAGGGTTGGGCACCTGCGTCGCCCTGGCAGCTGGGAAGGCCCTCGCAGGAACGCCCTGGGGGCAGCTCTGGTTGGGGCCACACAGGGTGCTGGCCCTGGCCCTGACTGCCACCCGGCCATGCCGGCAGCTTTGGCATCCGCCTGGTGCCACAGGCCTCCGAGGACAAGTTTGACTGTTACAAGTGCCACTGGACGGCAGGCAGCATGTGCGGCTACGGCATCTGTGAGTAAGTGGCCCTCAGAGGGGGCGGGGGTGGGGGCGGAGTCGGCTCCGGGTGGGGCCCTCCCTTGGGCCGGGGGTCGGCAGGGCCGGGCCAGCTGGCTGTGACCTTCACCAGGTACGGCAATGACCAGGTGTACAAGGGCTATTTCCATGCGGGCCTGCGGCACGGCTTCGGTGTCCTGGAGAGTGCGCCGCAGGGCCCCCAGACGTTCAGGTACACCGGCCACTGGGAGAGGGGCCAGAGGAGCGGCTATGGCGTCGAGGAGGACGGGGACAGGTGAGAACCCTCCCAGGAGGTACCTTCCCCAACTTCCCGCCCTGTCCTGCCTAAGGCACACTCCATCCCTCTCCTCCACTTGGCTGTCCTGACCTCACCTCCCCTGAGTGGATTCGAGCGTTGTCACTCTTCCCTCGCTTGCCCCTCCCCTAGCCCTGCCATGCCAGCAGGTGCCCGGGAGTGACTCTGATCCAACCCTGGCCCCTCTTTGCCCAGGGGCGAGCGCTACATCGGCATGTGGCAGGGCGACCAGCGCCATGGCCCGGGGGTCGTAGTCACCCAGGCAGGTGTCTGCTACCAGGGCAGCTTCCAGGCGGACAAGATAGTGGTGCGTGCGTCCTGAGCTCCCCTCCTGCTTGCGGGCGTGGGAGGTGGGGGGGCTGAAGCTAAGATGAGGCCAGTCGGGGGTGAATGGGGACGGAAGCCCGGCCCTGCTGCCCTCCTGCCCTGGCCTTGGCTAAGTCCCTGCCCCATATACTCAGTGAAGTGCGTGGTGGGAATGACGGTGCAGTAGCCTCAGTACCAGATGCTTAGAGACCTCCCGGGCCAGAAGCCTGGCTCTGGGCTGGGCCTGCTACATTGATCTGGTCGGTTCTTCCCTGGGTCTGCAGGTGGATGTCATTGTCCCTAGTGATGGTTAAGTGTGTAAGGTGGCGGAGGCTCAGGGATCCGAGAACCTGCCCGTGTCACGTTCTGCAGAGTGGCAGCGCGGGTCCCCCAAGCCCGGGCACCCCAGCTCTTGCCTCCTGCCACTCCCAGCCTCCCAGCTGCCTCTGCAGCACACCGGGCCCTTCTCACACTTGCGAGCCAGATTCAGAAATAAGTGGAACACACCCCGCATCCCACCCGGCCCTCAGTGTCCTGGCAGCCAGCATGGCAAGGGAGCCTGACCAGGCAAAGCAGGGTTCAGACAAAAATAGCTCTTCCCAAAGAGGAGCCTGGCTGAGCAAAACCTAGGCAGGAGGTGCCTGCAGCAGGCCAAGGACTGGGGTTACACTGGGCACGGTCCTGGGGAGGGTGCCAGCTCCCTCCTGTGGGCCCCGCTGTACTCACCGTCCCCACTCTCCCCTGCTTCTGTCCCCAGGGTCCCGGCGTGCTGCTGTCTGAGGACGACTCCCTGTACGAGGGCACCTTCACCAGGGACCTGAGCCTTGTGGGGAAGGTGAGGGCCCCCAGCACTGATCCATACCCTACCAGGCCTCGGGCCTGGGGGGGGGGAGGAGAGTGGGGTCAGCCCCCGTTCCCCCCCAGCACTGATCCATACCCTACCAGGCCTCCGGCCCAGGGGGGAGGAGGATGGGGGCAGCCCCCGTTCCCCGCCGTGCAGCTGTGAGCCTGCTTGCATCCAGGGGGTGCTGCTGCTCTCCTGGCCGGGTCCCCTCGTTCAGCACATGTGGCCCTCATCCCCACCTTCCCCCACCCCATGCCTTGTGCAGTCACCACCCTGCCTGAGCCCACCTAGCAAAGGGACGCTGCTGGGTCTTTAAGGGGAACCGCAGGCCGTCTGGGTTTTCTGATGACTGGAGGGTTCCCCTGGCCTAGAGTGGGAGAGGCTTGGGGAGGCAGGGCCATGCATGGGACAGCCGCATGCAGCAAGGACTCGCCCTTCCCCCTGCCTTCTTCCCCACCCCCAGCTCTCCCAGGGACAACTGTCCCCCCCCCCACCTTCCCTGGGAGTCCCTTCTCCACTGCTCCCCCTCTTGCCCAACCCAGAGGTGAGCTCCTGGCCGGTGGGGGTAGGGGTGGCTCCTGACACACCTGTCAGTCCATGGCCCCTGCCGACAGTTCCCCTCCTGGCTCCAGGGTAAGGTCACCTTCCCCAATGGCTTCACCCTGGAGGGCACATTCGGCAGTGGGGTGGGGAGAGGACTGCACACGCAAGGCGTACTGGACACAGCTGCTGTCCCGCCGGACCCCAGCAGCACCCGCAAGAGGTGAGCGCCTGGCCGGTGTGGCCCGGGCTTCCGGAGCTGTCGGGGGTGCACCTGTGTCTCTGCCCCCAGCGACCTGGGTCTCGTCCGAGGGGCCTCTCCACACCCCGTCAGGAGGCCCAGGGCACGCAGCACCCATTGCGGACTCTCGAAAGCAAGGCCCACGCGGGGATAACTGCACAGGCCAGAAAACCGGAGACTAAACTGCACGTAGTCTCTCTTCTTAGAAGCCTGCTTTGTTTTTCGGTAAAGGGTACAGGAGACTTTACCAACCAAATGCACACTCACAAATAGAAAATAAAAGCGTGAGTGGACATTGGAAAGGTGTTTGCACAGTAGGCCCCATGTGGTTATGGTTGACATTAGCATGGCTGTGTGTTCCCTGGCAGCCCAGGACGAAGGGAACCTGCAGAGTGGAGTCATTGTCGCCATCGAGGGGCATGGCGGGGTAGCCTTCTTTCCCTGTGGGGACGGAGCTCTTCCTTGGAAAGAGTTAGAGGGGGGGCTCTTGCTGCGTCTGTTGAGAAAGCCCGGGTGGCGCACAGAGAGGGGCTGCTGTGGGTGACACGTCCGGGGGGGCGGCTTGTCACGAGGCTGAGGGGTTACTGGGATGTGCTGGGAGTGGGGTGCAAGTGGGGGATGCCCTGCAGGAGGGCTGGGTGTGTGAGACAGCGTCCACTCTGGGATCAGCTAGAGGGACAGACTGGCCACCGGGGAAGGCAGAGCTGGACATCATGGCAGGGGCAGCTCCAGCTTTGGGCCCTGGGCTCTCCTGGCCAGGACACGCCCTCTGTGCCCTGCAGACCTACCCTCCTGTCTGCCTCTGTCTCTCCAGGCCTCTGAGCCCCGCTCGGTGGCCCATCTTGGGGTCATCTCTCTGTCCCCTCTCTGCCTCTGTCTCCCAGAGCCTGGGAGGTCAGTGCCACCAGCACACCCCCTTGATCCCCCCTTCCTGGGACCTGGACGTGGTCCTGCCCACGCTGCCCTGTCTACCCCGCCTGTCCCCCATGTCCTCCATTGTAGGCAGCTGGGGCTGGACGCCTTACCGGTGGAGAGCCGCTGGCAGGGAGTCTACGGCCCCTTCCGGGACTTCGTGGCTGCTGGCTGCCCCGCAGACCTGCAGGAGGCCATGCTGGGCTTCCACGTGCAGAGCTCGCGGGAGCTGCGCAGGTCCCAGGAGTACCTGTGCTGCACGAGGTGAGGCCCTGGGGCACGTGGGGCGGAGCAGGCTGGGGGAGGGTCCCTGGGAGCCCGGCCGGCCTGGCGAGGTGAGGGACCTGTGTGTCACGTGTGCCCCAGGACGCACCCCGAGGACAGTGAGGGCAGCGTGGCCGACACCCTGGACGAGCTGCTGCGGCACCGGCAGCCTGAGGCCCTGCAGCAGTACCTGAGCAAGGTGAGGGCCAGCCCCTCGCCTCCTTGTCCGTGGAGGGCCTCTGAGGTCCACCCTGGGAGGCCCGTGGGGCGGGCCGCACTCCCAGGGACCTGGCCCCGAGCGTCTCTGTTGCCCGCCTCCCACTGGCCCAGGCCCTGAGCCACCCCCTGCACCCGCTGGGCAAGCTGCTGCGCACGCTGATGCTGACCTTCCAGGCCACGTACGTGGGCATCGGGGCCAACAAGCACCTGCAGGGGCTGGCCCAGGACGAGGTGAAGCAGCACGCCCGGGAGCTCTGGGCCGCCTACAGGTGACGTCCGCTGCCCTGTGCCCCCTCCCCTGGCATCAGCTCCGCCTGGCACCCAGAGCGGTGGTGCCCCGCTGAAGGCCAACTCCACAAAGCCAGGGAGGGGTGGTCAGGGTGCGGCTGCTGGGCACAAGGGCTCCAGAGGGCCCGATGTGGCCCACAGCTGGAGGCTGAGCCCCAGCCGGGCCCTGGGCTGACCCATGACCCCCCTGTAGCTGAGTGTGACTCAGGCCCCAGCTGAGCTATGGCTGCGGCACCAAGGTCCCCGGCTGAGTTCCTGGCTCCGCGTCTCTAGCTGCTGCGGTTGAGGGGACTGTGTGGGTGGAGCTCTGGTCCCTGTGGGGGCGGCCGCACCATCGCTGTCCCCGTGGGCTTTCAGGGGTCTGCTGCGGGTCGCCTTACAGCGCAGGGGCCACACCCTGGAGGAGGAAGACACCGAGACACGGTGAGCGGCCCCGAGGCACCTCTAACTCTGTGTTTCTCGGGGGTAGCGGGGTGGGGGGGCATTCGTGCTGTTGACCAAGCATTGTGTGTTGCTCATTAGTGGATCCCAGTGACCTGTGACCTCTGTCCTGGGAGCAACCAGGGAGCTGGCGCGGCCACACGCTTGGAACATATCTGTTTGTTCTAACTGTGTCATCCCAGCCTTCTCGCTCCTGCACCATGGGGAAACGGAGGCCTGGCTGGGGCCAAGCCTGAGGTCCCACGGGGCAGGATGTGGGTGGAGCTCCACGTCCATCTGCCCCAGCCCTGCGAGTGTCTGGCCAGAGAGGCCTTGCTGTCCCCGCCCTGCAGGAGGCTAGGAAGGGGGTTGGCGGCACCCTTGGCAGCAAGGGAGGGCTCAGGGAGACCTTTTCCCTGAGCTTTGCTACAAGCTGCTTGGCCCCCTGGGGCCTTGGGGGTCACAGCTGTACCCCAGCTGCAGAATTGGTTCTGGGTAGAGGGAGAAAGGCGCCCATCGGTTGGCCGAGTGAGTAGCGGCTGAGAGCAGGCTGGGGAAGGGTTTTTCTGGGAAGCAGGGGAGGCTGCGGGCTGGGACGCTGTGACTGGGAGCTCCGTGGGGGCTTTCAGGGGTGGCTCCGTGAGGCGACCCCCACCCCGGGCCCTGTGCTGCCGACCCCAGCCCGTCCCGTCTCCCGCCCAGGGACCTGCAGGTGCACAGCGTGATGCTGCCGCTCGTGCTGCCCAGCTTCTACTCGGAGCTCTTCACGCTCTACCTGCTGCTCCACGAGCCCGAGGACGGCCTCTACAGCCAGGGCATCACCAACCTGAGCCTCTTCCCCGATGCCAAGCTGCTGCAGTTCCTGGAAGTGCAGAAGTAAGCCGCCCTCCCCGCCGCACCCCGGCCACCCCGGCCAGGGCTCACTCGGTGTCTCAGCAGCAGAGCCCTGCCGTCGGTGCCCAGCGGCACAGCGAAGGGAAGCAGCTTTCTCTTGCAGTTCCCCCTGCAGAGGCCCCATCCCCTCGGGGACCTGCCATTCCCTGCCAGCTCCTCAGCGGAGGCCCTCACTGGGAGCTTGAGGACTGTCCCGGGAGCAGTCAGGCAGGCCTGTGGCGCGTCCTGGGCCGTTCTCCTCGGCATCCCTGGTATTGACTCCATGGGTGGCCCCTGCCTCTGGCACGGGGGTAGGCACGCTCCCCCCCCCCCCACACTTGGGTCCCCTTTGTTGCACTGAGCCCCTGGCTTCCTGCTGCCTCAGTGCTGCCCCCTGGAGTCCCTGTCCCGCCTTGCAGCCTCTGGTGTTTCCGTGGCTCACCGGGCAGGACCGATTCCCCGGCTCTCACCCCTGGCCCCTTTGCTTCAGTGCCGCCCTCAGCCAAGTGCAGCTTCTGTTTTGGGGCCCCCTCTTCAGGCTCCACACTCAGGGGTCCCCCGCAGGCCTGTTTGCTTCCCAGGATGGAGTGACTGGGGGACTGGTGTGGTGGCGCAGGGGACGCGGCGGGGCGGGGAATTCCCCTCTCTTCTCGGAGCCTGCGCTCATCCCGACAAAACCTCTCGTCTCACTTTTCAACCGCAGGCACCTGTGGCCGCTGAAGGACCTCAGGCTCACCAGCAATCAGGTGGGAGGGCTCACCTGTTTGCCCCAGGGAGTGGGAGGCCTGAGCCCTGGGGCCCGAAGGTCGCCCGCAGCATCCGGTGCTGCTCTGACCCCTGGGTGTAGGGGCAAGGACCGGGCTCTGCCCCTTTGCTGGCTGCGTGGCTGTGCCTCAGTTTCCCCTTCTGCACGAGAGGCCGCACTGGAGCTGCTGCCTAGGGCTGCTGTCGGGTGAAGCCGGCACACGTGCAGCGTTGGTTTAGAACCTACGGGAAACGCGGATTCTGGAGCTCAGGAAGGATCTGCTGAGGCAAACTCAGGAGCGTGGGTGGGCGTTAAGCTGCCGTTGGGTCACCGCATCCAAGTCCTGGAGTGTCTGGTTCAAGTCCCAGCTCCTCTGCTTCTGATCTAGCTCCCTGCTAATGCACACTGGGAGGCAGCAGTGACGTCTCAAGTCCTTGTGTCCCTACCACCCAGGTGGGAGACCCAGAGGGAGCTCCTGACTCCCGGCTTCAGCCTGGCCCAGCCCCAGGTGTTGTGGGCACTTGGGGAGTAAACCAGCAGATGCAAGGTCTTGCTCTCCGCCTTTAAGAAATGAAAATGAATTGTGTTTGAAAAAGAAAACAGAACCTCAGGGAGTGGCCCCGGGAGGCTGTGGCTCAGGAAGCCCTAGGGTTTGAGACCCAGTGACGGAGGCGCTCGGAGTGGGGGTGTCCGGGGGGCCAGTGGCTGCTGCCATGCTGGGCTCTGTCCATGTTGCCCCTCCCAACCTCCTGGGCCCATTCAGCCCATTTTACAGTTGCAGAAACTGAGGTCCGCAGCAGAGCTGTGACTTGCTCTGGGTCACTCCGTGCTCAGGGCCTGCCTGGGTGCTGGAGACCCCGGCCTCACCCGGCCACCTCCCCTCCCACACAGAGGCACTCCCTGGTCAAGGACAAGTGCTTCCTGTCAGCCACTGAGTGCCTGCAGAAGATCATGTGAGTTGTGGCCTGGGGAGGGAAGAAGGGGGGAGGATGCAGGGGCGCGGGGCCCCCCGCTGGACCTGAGCCTGGGCCCCGCTCCGCTCCTACCGCAGCACCACGGTGAGCCCTTGGGAGAAGCTGCAGGTGCTGGAGCGGACGTACGGGGAGATCGAGGCCACCGTGTCGCGGCTGCTGGGCCAGGAGCACAAGCTGCCCATGGATGACCTGCTGCCGCTGCTCATCTATGTGGTGTCGCGGGCCCGGTGAGTCCCGGGCAGGCTGGGACCCTGCACCCGCCACCCCTAACCAAGGCAGCCTCTGAGGCCCGGGAGTGCCTAGTTACAGTGGAACTGTTCTCAGTACCGATGGGAAAGGCAGGCCGGGGAGAAGAGGGTCCCACCTGGCATCCTGTGTGCCAGAGGCCGAGCAAAGACACCCCGGTGTCCAGCCCTCCCGAGCCGGGCCCCTCCCTGGCTGTGCCGGGCCTGGCCGCAAAGACCCCTTCTCTCCCGCTCTCCTTAGAATTCAGCACCTGGGAGCTGAGATCCACCTAATCCGGGACATGATGGATCCCAGCCACATAGGGGGCCTCTACGACTTCCTGCTCACGGCCCTGGAGGTGAGGGCGGAGGTGGTGACCCCCCCCTGGGGGGGGCGGGCCCCTTCCCTGCCCCGGACACCACTGTGGGGAGGAGCTCAGGTGCCTGGCTCACGTGTGTCTGTGGGAAGGGGCCTCACGGTACCCCTGCTTCTGCTCATGTTAGGGGGCTCGCCGTGCATCCCAGCCCTGGGGACTCTGGGGCCCTGCCTGCTCCAGGCTGCACGCCGAGCCCCCTGGGAGAGGGAAGACCCCATTCACCCAGCAGACGGTGGCTGAGGGCGGCATTGGAGAGGCAGCAGTGTGGGCTGGGAGGGATGCCCTGGAGTCTGTGTAGGGTGCCGGGGAGCCGGCCCCAGCCGCCTCTCTCTCCCGCCAGTCCTGCTATGAGCACATCCAGAGAGAAGACATGCGGCAGCACCGCTTGCCGGGCCCCTGGGACCCCAGGGAGCACTGGTAGCCCCACGCCGCCGGGACCCACGGGAGCAGCGACACCCAGCCTGGCTAGAGTGAGGGCCAAGGTGCCGGTGTGGCCCTGGAGCTGGTGGTCTCCCCCTCGGCCTCCTGCGGCAGCTCCCAGGATGGGAGTGAGGAGCAGCTGGCGCCCGTGCTACCACGCCGCGGAGCCACCTGGCAGTGGAGGAGGCGGTCTCTGGGGACCTTCCACTTCCGTTTCTGACCTCGCCGCGTTCTGGAGCCCTCCTGAGGTCCCATTTCGTCCTGGGCTGCAATTCCCCTTTCGCCGCTGGTCGGGTTCCCGGCTGCTCGGCACTGCCTGGTTTAGCCAGCCCTCTCCCTGGGCAGACCCCCCCCCCCGCCAGCTCTGCCGGCTCCCACCTGCTCGGTCTGTGGTGAGGATGGCCGCAGTCCCTCCACAACGACACGGAGGGTGGTGCCGGAGCCAGGGGCCGCGTCACCGTCCTTTGGCTGCCTCACTGCCAGTGGCCCGTGAGCCACACACCTGGGACCTCTGTGGGCCTCCCTGCGCAGGGCCAGCCCCCGTCCTGGCCAGCCAGCCCCTCCGCTCAGGACCCACAGGGAATGGGGCCCTGGGACCCCTGTGGGAGGGAGCACTTTGTTTAAGTAGGCGTTCTGGTAGGGAGCCAGTTCCTGCTGGGCCTCGGTTTCTCTCCGCAGGGGGCGTGGCCCAGGTGACCTGCAGGGCCAGTAGGGTGAGTGACAGCAGGCAGTGTGGACCGGGGCGGGGGGGGGGGAGCAGAGCACTGGGTGCTCCCTGGGAGAACAAGCGGGACCCACCGCCTGCAGTGTGCCCTGGGTGGAAAGCGAGTTTGGCTCCTGCCCCAGCTCTAGATGTGCCTTCCACACCAGACAACCGACCTCAGCCCCAGGGACCCTGGGAGAGCCCCGTAACACCTGAGCCACAGGGCACCTGGCCAGGTGCCCTCCCAAGGGAGCAGACACCCTCGCCCTGGCTGGTGCCACCAAATGTGCTGCTTGGAGAGGCCGCAGGCTCTGCTTCTGTCAGACCCATGGCGTCCCCAAGCAAGTCCCTGTGCAGGAGTGGAGCCGCTGTGGGGTGAGGATCCCAGGACGCCAGGGACAGCCAGCGTCCAGCCGTGTGGCCTGTTCTGGGCCCTTCCTGCAGCACAGCCAGGCGTTCGTGCCCTGCACTCCTGCACTTCCGGCCCCCCTGGGGTCAGTGGGCCTCACCCCACACCTGCTGCACTGGCGCCTCTGGGCGTGGCCTGGGGGGGCTGCACATTTCCCCAGGGGAGTCCCAAGAGTGGCCACGTCTACCTCAGACCCAACAGCACAGCCCTCCCAGCTGCTGGGGTCCTTCGCACTGGGCAGTGAGGAGGTTGACAGTGGGGCTCAGGAGCCAGGAAACCACCTGCTGTGGAGGTGGGACCACACCCCAGGGCCGGCCTCCCCAGCTGGGTCCTTCCATGGGTGGTCACCGTGGGCCATCCCAGCAGGACCACGAGTGGTCTCGTTCCTGACCACTGCCCAATCCAGCAGGCGTAGCCAGGAGGCGGGAGAGGTGGTGGCTGAGGGCCACCCCCCACCCCCTGCGCCATAGGTGACAAAGCTTGCTTTCCAGAGGCAGCCTGGAGGTGGGGAGGGGTCATGGGAAAGGCAAGTGGCGTGGCCAGGGTCAAGGGCGGCCTGTTCTCATCCCCCCTCCCCTCATAATTAAACGGTATATTTGAGAGATGCTTTTCTGGGGTGTTGCCAAATTTAGAGCCCGCTTATTTTGTCAGGTTTTGTTTTGTTTTTAGTCCGTTTTGTCTTTTGATGGCACCTGCTGCCTGGAGGTGACAGGGGACGTGAAGTGTCCTAGGAATGCCCCAGGCAGCTGCCCATGGCCCCTTCTATTGCTGCGTGTGGCACCTTGCCTGGCTGGCTGGCTGTGTTCAGGGACCTGAAGCAGGGAGCAGACCACTGGGGAGGCAGAGCCCCCCTGGCTGTGCGGGGGGATTGGTTGAACCCAGAGAAGGCATGCATGGCAGTCGGCGCCCAGCAGTTCCCCTGGGAGTGGGGCATGGGGCCTGCGGGGTGTCCGACAGGACTGGTCTGCAGCTGTCCTTCTATGGCTGTCCCCGCGGGTCACGGACAGAGCCGACAGGCCTGTGCCTTCTGCTGCCAGCACGTTTGTCCCAGTGGAGGCTGGGAATCCATCTTCCGCTGATTGTTTCAGGAGCCGGACCACGCTGGAGGCCCATGGCCGCTGGTTGGTGGGAATGTAACAGGTGCACTGGGGGCCAAGGTCTCCAGGGCAGGCGCCCTAAATCTGCTTGGGGGCAGACATTTTCCTCCACTCACAGTTTTCAGCAGGTGTGTCCCTGGCTGCCAGCCACTCTGGGCACCTTCCCTGACCTCTGGGGTGGTCCTCAGTGTACTGAATGAAGTCCCCAGGGTGCCCCAATGGTTGCATAGACTCCACATCTGGGATGGCTGTACTGTGGGTGTGTGTGAGAGAGAGAGAATGAGAGAGAATCTTTCACGCACGTGGGAGGTTCTGGGGGTGCCTAGCTTACTCCTGTTTGGGATGTCCTGTTTGCATTTGATGACAGATGTCGACTGGGCCGTGTCTACTGTGTCGAGACACACCCAGATTGGGGATGCCAGGGTGTAACCACACACAGGAAACCGGGCTCTCAGAACCCATCCCTGCCCATTACAAGTCCAGTGGTTGCCACCCTGGTGGGCTGTGCTGTGTGCTGTAGCACTTGCTGTACTCAACACGAGGGGGCGCTCTTGCTGAGTGTCAGTAGTCCCCTGCAGTAGGCACAAAGCTCACTCGCCATCGCTTGCCCTTTAGAAGGCTCTGTGGCGCTGCCTGGCTTTGGTGGTTGGCCAGTGTGACCGTCTGCGGGGGCCTCGCCTTGGCTCGGCTGTCGGGGTGCTGTGCTGCGTTGCGGCCACTCTGGCTGGCCCAGGGGAGCCAGGGCTCCCACCTGCCGCTTGTCCTGTGGTCAGGAGCGGGTGCTTGAAACTCAGTGATCACAGTGGCCGCCTGGATGCAGAACTGCCTTTGCCCTGCAAGTCCTCATCCTTCCCCTCCCAGCCCAAGACCCCCGGACACCAAGGCGGGGTGGGGGGCACACTCAGGCGGCTGCTTCCGGTTCTCCCTCCAGCATTCCCGGGTGGGCAGACGGTGCGGTGCCCTGCTCCCCTCTGCTCAGCCGCCCCGGCAGATCCTGTCTTTTCACACCCTCAACTCAAAGGAGCTCTCCTGCCTTCCCCGCAGCAGGCACGGTAACCCTTAGCAGCCCCAGCAGAGGATGGGAGATTCCCCCTTCCCTTCTCTTTCTCTGTCAGCTCTGCGTTTCGAGTAAATGAACACCTCTTTTTAAAACATTAGATAAAGCAACGAATCCTAAAGTTCGTGATTAACAAGCTAACATTGAAAAACCAAACAAAAAAGGCTAAAACACTGGAAAGAAGGCCAAGCACTGGGTTTTAGTAAAAGGATACGGACCGCATCGGTGTTTTTGAAAAAGCCAATTAAGCTCAGAGGAAGGAAGAAGATTAGAGCCGTTTGTTTTCAAACCAATGAGGATGATGACTTACAGGGCTTTGTTCTGCAGATGGGTGCGCTTCTGTTCTCAGAAAACGAGACAGGATTATGTGACGCGAGTTTCCTGGACACGGTGAGCTGGTGCAGCGACTCTGCTGTGCCACGTGAGCGTGAGTGGCAGGGCCACAAAGCTAGGACACCGCCTGGTATGCCTAGAGCCTAATGATTGCATTTCCAGACGGGTGGGCATTCTATGGAAACGGGAGGTGCGTGGGGTTTTGACAGCAAACTGGCTGTCCAGCCACGGTTGGAAGAAGGCAGGGAGGTGGCTCGGGGGCTAACTCCCACCGTGCACTGGGAGAGATTTGCAGGTAAACCCCCTGCAGGTGGGGTGGCAGTGGCGTGAGTGACATCTGTTGGGCATAGCAGAGGGACTCGGCGATGTGCATGGACGGCTCCTAGCCGAGGACCTCGGGGCCCTGGCTCCTCTGGGGGCGGTGCAGCCGGGAACTCTCAGCCAACGTTCGCCTGCTTTTCCGTCTCGTCGGGACTGTTCCTCAGCCTCAGCTTCGTCTCCAGCCTCTGCTTCCATTCTTCCCTGAGCCTAAAAATAGAACAGAACACAGGCGGGATGTCCGTCTCCACAGCCTCCAGGGCGCTGACTTCCTCCCCCCACCCCCCCAACCACCTGGGAAGTAGCAGAGAAGGCCATGGATGGAGTTCTTGGCTCCTGGCTTCGGCCTGGGAGTGAGTCACCGGATGGAAGACGGTCTCCCTCCCTCCTTCCTTCTCACTGTTGCTCTGCCTTTCAAATAAATAAATGGATAAATAGTTTAAAGATACTATGTGCGAGGACAATGAACACACTTAAACCCTTTAAGATGCCCATCCCACATTCTTCTGGGAAAGTCAGTTTTTGATTTTAGAAAACAAAGTCTCCCTCCAGGCTGGTGGCTCTCACAAAGGTGCCACTGGCCAGGATGTTGGCAGTGGGCTGTGGGGGCACCGAGGGCAGGTGCGAACTCTGAACCTTCCAGTTTTGCTGAGAACTGAAAACTGCCGTACAACATGAAATGTGCTGTTCTAAAATTATTTACTTGAAAGGCAGAGTTGAGAGAGAGATTTTCCATCTGCTGGTGCACTCCCCAAATGGCTGCAACAGTCAGGGCTGGGCCAGGCTGAAGCGAGGGCCTGGAACTCCCTCTGGGTCTCCATGGGTGGCATGTGCTTGGGCCATCTTCCACTGCTTTTCCAGGCCATTAGCAGAAAGCTGGATAGGAAGTGGAGCAGCTGGGACTCGAACCAGCGCTTTCCTATGGGATGCCAGCTTCCCAGGCGGTGGGGTAACCCGCTTTGCCGCAGTGAAGTCCACTTTTAAAACCCAAATCTTAAGAAGTAGACGCGGCAGCCACGCACCTTCTCAGTGCACTTCTTCCCAGACGGTGCTCCTCCGATTCCCGGTAGTAAGTCTGTTTGCCAATTTCCCGCTCCCAGAAGCATTTGAGCTCGTGGCAGGAGTTGCGGCAGAAGACCTCCCGGCGGGCGTACTGGTGGTTCATGCCCTGGAAGCGAGAAGAACAGCCCAACCCTTGCAGACTCCGTGGCTCCGGCTCTGTGGCTTGCGGGGGCCTGCCAGAACCTCGGCCCTCAGCCTGCAGGTGGGGATGCTGGCCAGCCGCAGAGCCTGTGTGGCAGCCACAGCAAGGCTCACCTCCCACTGGTTGCTCAGTCCTTGTCTGCATTCAGGGAGATGTGAATGCAGAAGCCCCCCACATTGGCTGGGGTGTGTCCCTGAACAGGTGTGCCATGCACAGGTCGCTGGCAAATGCCTTTGTCCCTCCTCCTCTCAAAGATTTCTTGGGGCACACATTGTGGCACAACAGGTTAAACTGCTGCCTACGGCACTGGCATCCTATATCAGAGCGCTGGTTCGAGTCCCCAGTTGCTCCACTTCCAATCCAGCTCCCTGCTAACGCACCTCAGAAAGCAGCAGAAGATGGCCCAAGTGCTTGGGCCCCTGCACCCACCAGGGAGACTCGGGTTGAGTTCCAGGTTCCTGGCCTCAACCTGGCTCAGCCCCAGCCATTGCAGCCCTTTGGAGAGTGAAGCAACGGATGGAAGATCTCTGTCTCTCCCCTGCCTTTCTCAGTAAATAAATAAATGTTAAAAATATTAATAGAAATAATATTTCTCAGCTTGTTTTCAGCAGGTAACGTGTGCTGGTGTTTTGTGCACCTCTGTCCGCTTGGTTGTCGGAAGAAACCCATGCGGTGGGTGTTGACTCCCTCACTTCACGCGGGAGGCGAGGAGGAGTGTCCGAAGTTGCCTGTAACTGGGGAAGGCGGGCTTCAGACTGCTGACAGCAGTCTAGAAGTCTAGAGTCTAGAAGCCTCAAGCTGCTTCTAGAGGGATTTGTTACAGAGAAAGGTTCCACGTCTGACACACCCAGAGCAAGGTGCTTTGAGGTGTGTGTGCATGTAAGTGTGTTCACGTGCATGTGTGAAATCCATGCAGGTTTCATGACCTCTGATGCAAGGGTGCCTGGAGAGCCGACGCTCACGACACCTGTGTCTGCAGGGACGCGCGGTCCCCTCTGCTTGGGCTCGCTGGGTCTGCTTACCTCCTCTTGCAAGTTTCCCTGAAGATCAGATTGGGTCACAGGGAAAAGTCTTGCAGTTTATCCAGCTGGGTCCTGGCCCTCTGCTTGTCTCAGACGGGCTCTGACGCCCTCCACCCAGCAGGTCAGTACCAGTGCCAACCCCAAGGAAGTGTCGGCTTTCCTCGCTTGTCTGTCATATTGCGCATTCTGCTTCTTGGGGCTGGGGCTGCATAGTGCGTAGATGACAGGGCAGACTTGGTTCAAGGTTGAACGATGGCCACGTAGGACTGTGCCCAGAAGACCACCTGGCAAGAGCTTTGGTCCTCGTGTCCCTTTGTGTGTGTGGGTTTGGGGGGGGAGTGTCCGTGTGCATTTAGAAACCTTTTCTTTGTGATCATGGCTTATACCAGCTCAGAAGGGTCCCAGTTCCAGGTCAGGTGGAGGAAGTGCACTCCACTTGTGTCAAGACCTGGGCAGAGAGCACAGTGCAGCTGGGTGGGGACTCTGAAAACTGCCCAGTGGCTGGAGTCTCGGGAAGCCCAGAATTCCAGTTACAATGAGTGGCACTGATTTTCCATTTTTACTCTGGCGGCCTCAGTGTAGACTGAAGGTAGTCAGAAACCCACAGAGGGGCATGAAGGAAGGATCCATACTGCTCCGGCTGCAGGGACACGGTAGACTCCTGGTGCTCAGAAAATGGGAGAACCACTTATTTTTCCAGAAAATTCTGAAGTCAGGACAGTGTGGCTGCAGCAACAAAACTGAACAGTGGCCCGACCTGCAGGGGCATGAAACCCTGGGGGCAGGAACTGCACCCTGGCAGGAGGAGCTGTGGTTCTCCTCGGGGGCTCATGGCCCTGGCTGCTCTTTGCCTCTCCAGCCCTCTTGGCACATAACCCCTTTGTCCTGCAGCCACGGTGCAGCCACGGCAAGCGAGCCGCTGAGCTGGGTATCTCGAGTACCTGATTGCTGGCCAAAGGCCTGAAAAGGAGGAGCCCAAGGAATTGGAAAGTCCCAGGGAGGACCCCAGGAAGGACTTGGAAAGCTGCTCCTGAACTCCTGGGTCGGCGCCTGAGTGGTGCACGTGTGGGTGGACCGGACTCCACACAGCAGAAACTTTTTTTTTTTTAAAGATTTATTTATTTATTTGAAAGTCAGAGTTATAAAGAGAGAGGAGAGGCAGAGAGAGAGAGATCTTCCATCTGCTGGTTCACTCCTCAATTGGCTGCAACGGCCGGAGCTGCGCCGATCCGAAGCCAGGAGCCAGGAGCTTCCTCTGGGTCTCCCATGTGGGTGCAGGGGCCCAAGGACTTGGGCCATCTTGCACTGCTTTCCCAGCCATAGAAGCGGAGCCCATATGGAATGCTGGGGCTTCAGGCCAGGGCGTTAACCCACTGCACCACAGCGCCAGCCCCACAGCAAAAACTTTTTTTTTAAAGAGCTGAATGCCAGGTTCAGGTTCCAGACTGGCCCTGGGAGGCACACACCTGTGCGGAACGGCCCTGCTCAGGCTTTGGAAAGAAAACTGATGTTGGACGGCTGCTCACGGAAAGCTGGGCTGGTTGGAGCGTGAGGCCTCAACCTCGCCACACGGATTTCTTGCTGAAACAAAGGTACCAACGTTCCCTGGGGTCATCAGCTGGCCTTTGAGTGTGGCAGCATAATGTTAAACACATCCAAACAGGAACCAGGAAAATCTCAACTACAGTGAGCAAACAGAAGTGACTGCGATAGAGGCCACACATACGTAATTATATAAGTCTTCAAATGGCCATTATGGAAATACTCTGAGGGATAAGGGCAAACCCTCTGAAAGTGAGTGGAAAGACAGCAAGTCTCAGTAAATAATAGTGATGAGAATACTAGTAATGTAGAGAACAAAATAGGAACGTTAGAACTGAAAAATGTACTAAATGAAAAACATTTTTAAAAAAAAAATCATCACCAGGGGGTTGGTGATGTGGTGTAGAAAGCTGATGCCTGTAGCACCAGCATCCCATGTGGGTGCCGGTTCGAGTCCCGGCTGCTCCACTTCCAATCCAGCTCTCTGCTGTGGCCTGGGAAAGCAGTAGAAGATGGCCCACGTCCTTAGGCCCCTGCACCTGCGTCGGAGACCTGGAAGAAGCTCCTGGCTCCTGGTATCAGATCAGCACAGCTCCAGCTGTTGCGGCCAATTGGAGAGTGAACCAGTGGATGGAAGACCTCTCTCTAATAAATCTTAAAAGCAAAAAAACAAAAACTCCCTGGAGGAGACCACAGCAGAAAGGAAATGTTGGAGAATAAGACTGATCAATAGAAAGTATGCAGTTTGAGCAACAGAGAGAAACAAGCAGTGGATTCCACAATTTATAGGGAAAGGTCGGGACTTAGTGGCTACACCACTTTTTTTTTTTTTTTTTTTGACAGGCAGAGTGGACAGTGAGAGAGAGAGAGACAGAGAGAAAGGTCTTCCTTTTGCCGTTGGTTCACCCTCCAGCTGCGGCCGGTGCACCGCGCTGATCCGATGGCAGGAGCCAGGAGCCAGGTGCTTTTCCTGGTCCAGGGCCCAAGCACCTGGGCCATCCTCCACTGCCTTCCCGGGCCACAGCAGAGAGCTGGCCTGGAAGAGGGGCAACTGGGACAGAATCCGGCGCCCCAACCGGGACTAGAACCCGGTGTGCCGGCGCCGCAAGGCGGAGGATTAGCCTAGTGAGCCGCGGCGCCAGCCGGCTACACCACTTTTGAAACCGTGAATGAAAGCAGGAATGAAGTTGAGGGAATCATACGGCCTGATTGCAAGAGTCGCTATAAAGCTGTAAAGACACGGGGGGCTGGGGAACGGAGCCGGGGCGTCCAGAAACAGACGTGGGCCATGAGAGAGCGTGGTTTGCTCAAGAGAACAACAGGGCGTCAGCATGTGGGAAAGAAGGCATTGGCCTAAGCCCGGATCTAAACCAACTCCGAATGGCTCCTGGGTGTGAGTGTGGTGTAAAACCCGAGACCTCGTAGGAGAGAAGGGAGAGAGGTTTTTCATGACACGGGGTTAGGCATCGCGCTCTCAGGCCGGTGAGCAAAAGCCCAAGCCGAGAGGAAGAACTTAACAGATCGGACTTCACCAAAATGAAGTTCCTGAGGACTTGCACACTTGTCCCGACTTCCGGGTGAGGCCAGTGCCGCTGGCATGTGTTTGGGAGAATGCTCTTTGACCTCTTATGGATCGCTGCACGCTCAGAGATTATTCCCTGCCTCCAGAGCGCCACTGAGCCCTGCTCCCCGACTGCTGGAGCAGCACTGGCCTCACCTGGAAGTCGGGACAAGTGTGCAAGTCCTCAGGAACAAGATTCGGATCCAAGCCCGCACTTTACCCCGATCCCCAGATGACTCCTGCAAGGATTAACTCCAGTTTAAGACACTCTGATTCGGAATAGGAAGGCCGGGCTGCTCGGCAGCAGGCTGCAGCCGCCACACCTGCGGCCGGAGCCCCAGAGACGGCCAGCCCGTGAGGGCGCGCGCTCCTGCGGGTCAGGTGTGCTCCGTCCAGTCTGCCCTACCTGTCCTCTTAGCCGGGTCTCCCTGGCTGCCCTGCCTGTCCTCTTAGCTGGGTCTCTCGGTCTGCCCCGCCTGTCCTCTTAGCTGGGTCTCTCGGTCTGCCCCGCATGTCCTCTTAGCCGGGTCTCCTCAGGTGAGCGCTGGCACTGCTTTCTGCCATCTCACAGTTTCGCTCGTTTTGAATGCATCGCTTAACCGTATTAACCAGGTACGGAAGCCTGATGAGGATTTCTAAGTAGCTTCCAGGCAGATTCGAGAAAGACGGCCCTCGGGAGGGGAAAGGAGAATCCCAGGAGCTGTGCAAGGTAGGTGAGCCAGGAGTCCGTCCTTCGTCCTCCCCTCCAGGGTGTCAGGTGCACCTCCATCCCAGCACGCGCAAGGCCAACTCCCTTACCTTGGAGGCGAACCTGCTGCCGTCCTGATGTGCTGCGAGGGAGCTCAGCGCTGCCGCTCTCGGCTCCTCGGCTCCGGGGCTCGCAAAGGCCATGGTCTGGCCCTGGATCCCCGGGTTCAGCCCTTTATAGGCGGAGTGGAGGACTTACAGGAAAGCTGCAGCTGGCAAGGTGAATCGTGCCAAGCTCCTAGCAGAGTCACAGAGCTCTCCTTCCAGGGACAAGGTGGCCTTTGCCCGACGAACGAGATCCCCACCCGGGGCTGACTCCCACCACCCACCCCACCGGCAGGCCCCGCAGGCCATGACTTGGCTGTCAGCAGGGCTGCTGGTTAGAACACGTTCCGGCTTAGGGGCACCCACAAATCCCCCCGCGTCAGCCAGAGCTGTCCCCGCCCCTCGGTGCGACAAGTCACACTTCAGGGTCACCTTACAGGATGACTTAGTGATGCGCGGTGCTCTTTGGAGCCGCTAAGCCAGGGATAGAGCTGGGGATGACAGGCCACCATCTGCTGAGTCCCTCCTCCCTGGGGAGCAGGCCGCGGGCGCCAGGGCCGGTTTTCCAGCAAAAGGCGTCAAACCAGAAGGTTTCTCAGCTGAAAGTGCGCTGGGTGCCCTTTCAGAGAGCACGCGGTGGCTTTGCACCAACATCTGGGATGAAACACACACACGGTCAGGTCATAATCAAAGCCGGCTCCAACAGGACGGGCGTGCTGCTGACAGGTGTCGACACTGCGGGCAACACCGGTGTGGCGGAGGGCTGTTGCGGGGCGCACAGATGGAAACAGCGAGACCTTCCCTGCAGACTGAATTCGGAGTCTTCCTTGGCCAGCTGGCGGCTGCCTGGCTCACAGAGCAAGTCCGGAGAACACAGCCCCGAGCTGCAGTTGTGGGGAGTTTTTGAAGACAGAAAAACACATCCTGGTGGCCTTGACCAGTATCAAGCAAGCAAGCAGAAGTACAGAGGCCAGAAACATGCCGGCTACAGCCGGATGAGCAGACCAATATCAATAACTTACTTATTCCAAAGGAACAGTTCCTGCTCGAAGCAGCCAAGCGAGTTAACCTACAACCACACCTGCTACGTTATATCTTCTGGGAAATTCTAGTTTTGCGTCACCGTCACCCTGTTACAGGACCAGGGCACTTTGAAAGCTTCTTGGGAAAATTGAAATCAAATATATTTATTTGGTGCAAAATATTTGCAATGTGTGCAAGGTTTTTTCATTGTACTCCATCTTAAATGAACTTTTTGAAACCCCCTCTTCGGCATGAATTTCAAACATTTTTGTATCCGGAAAGTCTTATCTTTTTTTTTTGAATATTTATTTATTTATTTGCAAGAGTTACAGAGAGACAGAGAGGTCTTCCATCCACTGGTTCATTCCTCCAGATGGCTGGAGCTGTGCTCATCTGAAGTTAGGAGCCAGGAGATTCCTCTGGGTCCTCCCACGTGGGTGCAGGGCCCAAGCACTTGGGCCGTCCTCCACTGCTTTCCCAGGCCACAGCAGAGAGCTGGATGAGAAGTGGGGCAGCTGGGACTTGAATCGGCACCCATATTGAATACCAGCACTGAAGATGGTGGCTTTACCTGCTATGCTGCAGCACCGGCACCCCAGATTGCACTTCCATCCGATGTGCCTGGGAAGGCAGTTGTCGCTCCCCCTCTTCATGGAGGAACGACACTAAACCCTGCCTAGGCTTCATATCCGAGTCACGGCACCATTATGTCGCTCCCCGTCTTCGTGGAGGAACGACACAGGACCCTGCACTGTTCTTTTGTCTGCTCGGCCTTCCCCGGGTTTGCTGCTGGTTCTTCCTGGGTTGGCTACCGTCCCTTCCACCTCCGTGGAAGGGCGGTTCCCCCTGCCACATTCCCCACTTCCGCGGGGGAGCGGCACACCGCTGGCCGGCTCTCTCGGGGGCTGCACAGGTGTTCCTTCAGATAGATGTTCCTGGTGCATGTTGTCTCTCTCCTCCTTTATAGTCCTCTTCCACCAATCCCAACTCTGCTACCCACATGCCGAGTACGCTGCTCTCCTCCAATCAGGAGCAGCTCCTGCTGTTTATTGGTTGAACTGGAGGCAGCTGTGTAGAAGCTGTTTCCTCCTCTCCCAGCGCCATATTGTGGGAGAGCAGATGCATAGAATAAGTCTTAATTCCAGTAACTTAGTCTAGTCTGAGTTGCTCCCAGTTGCTCCCCACAGGCAGTGTAATATGGCCCAAGTGCTCAGGCTTCTGCCACCTACACGGGAGTCCTAGGTGGAGGTTCAGGCTCCTGGCTTTGGCCTAACTCAGCCCTGGCCATTGTGACCATTTAGGGAGTGAACCAGTGGATGGAAGATCTCTCTCTCTCTTTCTCTCCTTCTCTATTTCTGTAACTCTGCCTTTCAAGTAAACAAATAAAATCCTTTTTTTTTTTTTTTTTGACAGGCAGAGTTAGACAGTGAGAGAGAGAGAGAGAGAAAGGTCTTCCTTCCATTGGTTCACCCCCCAAATGGCTGCTACAGCCAGTGCACTGCGCTGATCCGAAGCCAGGAGCCAGGTGCCAAATAAAATCTTTAAAAAAGAAAATCTTGGTTCTCTCCCCAAGCAAGAGACTTGAGCCAGTGCTCTGATACAGGAATGGATGGAAGACCTCTCTCTCTCTCTCTCTCTCTGCCTCTGCCTTTCAAATAAATAAAAATGAATCTTTAGAAAAATAAATTAGTAACAGAATTAAAATTTGGAAATTCAGGTTGTTGATTCAAAATTCAAAGTGGGAAAATTGTAAATCCTTCTTCCATGAAGCAAACAGTGGAGGCAATGATATTCCATACTTGCAGATCAGCTAGGTTTTTTGTGAGCCCGTGGGAAGTAGCAATTCTTAAGCTTAATTTTACAAGCTTTTTCTTAAGGGACTTGCTAGTGGCTTCCTCAATAAAGTTTGAGGAATCTCAAATAACCAAGAAGGCTTTCTGGGTCCAGTGCTGTGGCGCAGGGGGTTAAGCCGCAGCCTGTGACACCAGCGCCAGCATCCTGTATCAGAGCACTGGCTCAAGTCTCTCGCTTGGGGGGAGAACCAAGATTTTCTTTTTTAAAGATTTTATTTGCGTGGCTCAATAGGCTAATCCTCCGCCTGCGGCGCTGGCACACCAGGTTCTAGTCCCGGTCGGGGCGCCGGATTCTGTCCCGGTTGCCCCTCTTCCAGGCCAGCTCTCTGCTGTGGCCAGGGAGTGCAGTGGAGGATGGCCCAGGTGCTTGGGCCCTGCACCCCATGGGAGACCAGGAAAAGCACCTGGCTCCTGGCTCCTGCCATCGGATCAGCGCGGTGCGCCGGGCGCAGTGCACCGGCCGTAGCAGCCATTTGGGGGGTGAACCAACGGAAGGAAGACCTTTCTCTCTGTCTCTCTCTCTCACTGTCTAACTCTGCCTGTCCAAAAAAAAAAAAAAAATAAAAGATTTTATTTGTTTACTTGAAAGGCAGAGTTACAGAAATAGAGAAGGGGAGAAAGAGAGAGAAAGATCTTCCATCCACTGGTTCACTCCCCAGATGACTGTAATGGCCAGGGCTGTGCCAGGCTGAAGCCAAGAGCCAGGAGCTTCTTCAAGTCTCCCACATGGGTGCAGGGGCCCAAGCACTCGGGAGTGTAGCAGCCGGGTTTCGAATCAGTGCCCATACAGGATGCTGACACTGCAGGCGGTGGCTTAACCCACTAATTATTGCTATTATGTGAAGTATTGGTAATAGTAAGGCACAGAGTGGCTTTTGAATCCAGTTAAGTCTGCTTCAAAGTCCTTAACCCAGTGTGAGCGCCAAGTACGGCACACGGCCAAGACTGGTGCCCTCCCCACCCCCACCGTTTTGAGGACAGACCTGACTGCAAATATTTCAACCTTTGAGGAGGCCACTCTGACGACCACGGCATCTCATTGTTTGGTTTGTGAAAGACGCTCACCGGAAGTACGGAGGTCTCCGGATGACTGAGCCAGATCTGCAGGAAGCCTGGACGTCACATCCACTACTACAAGGGGGCTGCATCCTTTATCCCACCCTCTGTGGGTGGCTGTGACCTTGGAAAACCTGGGCACGGGGACTGCGAAGGTGGCAAGCAGCTGAGTGTCCTCTCCCAGGTCTGCCAGGCCTGACTCCTGCCTTCCAGGCTCCTCGGGGGCTAACAGTCAAAAATGCTGAGTCACCATTGTGATCCTGCAGGTGCAAACCCTGAAGGTGGAAAAGGACCAAGGCACAGGAAGTCCCCCATGCAGAGGTGCCCCTGCGGGGTGGGGGTGGGGGGCTGTGCAGAGTGAAGGCGGAACGTGGAGGGTGAGAGACCCCCAGTGTTAGGCAACCCTGGCAGGGTCAGGATGACCGCGGCAGGGCTACCTACTGCCCACCACAAACACACAGCACCAGGAACGCAAGCTTCTCCCAGAAGTACCCTTTGCCAGCTCTGAGCGGAGCGCCCTCCCCCCCGCCCCCGAGGCTGTGAGTGCCTTTGGGTGATGCATGGATCCTTGGGGGACTGGACATCTGTCCCCTGGGCACTCAGCTCCAAGGACCTCATTTAAAATCAAGCGTGGCAGAGGCTGATTTGCAAACTTGACAAGACCTGGGTGTGTGTCTCTCTCAGTGTGACCTTTCCCAACCCCTTTATAAATCGGCTCCGTATTCCATTCCCTTCGGACGCTCGAGCCGTGCCTGCTGGGCTGGGAGGTGCAGCCCAGCCCGAGAACCGCCCGGATCATGGTGGCATTTTCACCGCGGTCTTCCATGCCATTCTCTGAGGAAAAATGAGAACGAGGCGACATTTCTCTGGCAGTACTTTCAGGGAAATTATTTTGGGCAAGGGACGGTTTGGCGATTTTGCAGACGCTCAGGGTGAGGTGCTGAGCCCCGTCCCGACTGCCCAGGCACGTCCTGAGGTTCCCAGGGCGACAGTTCGGGAAGGGCGGAGTCAGTAGCGGTGGCAGAGCAGGTGTCCGGCCAGCCCAAGGCCGGCTTCAGGGAGAAGCCTGGAACTAAAGGGACTCGGGGCTGGGAGACGTCCTCCACATTGCCACCCGGGGATAGTAAGCAAACGTCTGTGCTGGCCCCAGGGTGGGCTGTGCTCTGGGCTCTGTGTGGAGGCCAAGACGGCTGTGGCCTGAACATAGCAGCTGCTGATGGTCAGACCCGGGGCCTCTGCTTTTCCGGCACCGCTTCCCTCCAGGCTTCTCCATGGCCTTCAGACGCCCCAGGGCCCGAGACTCTGTCCTGTCCACTAACGGCCACTTCTGTCGTGGCCAGATTGACAGTGGTACCTGGATGGGCCAGAGGCCAGTTAAGACGGGGCTCCCCTGGGGCTCTGGCCATGGAAAGTCCCCTCTGATTCTGAGCCCTCCTTGTACTCATCTGTGGGGTAAAGGGTTGTGAAGTCATCTCCAGTGTGAACACATGATGATTTCAGAGTCCTTTTTAAGACTTATCTGTTTAAATTTTTAATATTTATTTGAAAGGAAACATGAGAGACCCAGAGAGAGAGAGGGAGAGAGAGAGACAGACAAGAGCCAGAGAGAGAGATCCATCTTCTATCCAGTGGTTCACCCGGCAAATGTGGTCTGTTTGTTACCCAAATGTTTCTATAGTTCAAAAATGTGCATGAAAACATAAGGGAGACACAAAGACAACTGCTTGAGGCTGGCGTTGCAGCACAGAGGACTAAGCCGCTGCCTGCAACGCTGGCAACCTGTAAGGGTGCCTGTTCAAGTCCTGGCTGCTCCGCTTCTGGTCCAGTTCCCTGCTAATTATCGTGACTGGGAGAGTCTTGATCCAGTCAGAGACTGGGATATGGGTCCCATGTCGCAGTGGCCAGGCCGCTGCTGTGTGTGCCTGCCCACCTCCATTTTCCTTGATCTTTCTGCTGACCACACCCCACTTCCTTCTTTCCCTTGGGCATGGCCAAAAAATGGACCAAGGGGTGGACAACATGGCCCAGCCCTGGCTGTGAGTTCATTAGGGAGTGAACCAGCAGTAGGAGATCTATCACTTAGCTTTTCCAATAAATAAACTTTAAAAAACTCCATCCACTTGGAATTTTGTATCCGCAGGGAATTATGCGGAAAACAAACTGTGGATCAAGTAATACCCAAATAATGGAAACAGAGAAACACACACACACACACACACACACACACACCTCAAAGCCAGAACACAGCCCGGGCGCCCACCCAGAGCCCAGGGCTCCTCTGGGCTCCTCAGTTTTGAACCAGATGAGCTTGTCCCATCCTCACCATGGAAGATTTGGAAAACACACCAAGCGCACAGAGGGAGAAGCTGCTACCATGGAGCACCAGGCATCTCGCCACCTAGAAACTGTTCACACTCAGTCGCTGTATTTCCTGTTTGCACCGTGCATACCCAACACCATGTATTTTAACAACAGACTTTGCAATACTTAGTTTTACCACTTGGTTTACAACAAAATATGTTGTGAACATTTTCCTCTTCTACAATAATTAAAATAATTGCTAAGTCAAAAGAAAACAATTTATTAAGCAATCTTGTTGGTCAAATTTACATAACAAATTTCTAGAGAGTTCTTTCTACTGCATTGAGAAAAAAAATCAGGAGTCCCTGGCTTATATTTTTATAGACAATGGAAATTTGCCCTGAGTTAGCATTTTTAACTTGTCTACCTGTACGTAATCATCAAACACTCCACTTGACTTTTCCAATGTCTCTTCTACTCACTTCCTCCTATTTTCGCAGTCCTCCCAGCCAGCATGCAGGTTCTCACTACCTCAGCAATCCTGTCTCCCTCCCTCCCTTTCCTCCCTATAACCAGGCTTTCTTTTTTTTTTTTTTATTTTTTTTTATTTTATTTTTTTGACAGGCAGAGTGGACAGTGAGAGAGAGAGACAGAGAGAAAGGTCTTCCTTTGCCGTTGGTTCACCCTCCAATGGCCGCCGCACCGCGCTGATCCGATGGCAGGAGCCAGGAGCCAGGTGCTTTTCCTGGTCTCCCATGGGGTGCAGGGCCCAAGCACCTGGGCCATCCTCCACTGCACTCCCTGGCCACAGCAGAGGGCTGGCTTGGAAGAGGGACAACCGGGACAGAACCCGGTGTGCCGGCGCCGCTAGGCGGAGGATTAGCCTAGTGAGCCGCGGCGCCGGCCCAGGCTTTCTTTCTTTGCCTTTCGTCAGGGCTGGCAATAGCGGGTTAAGCTGCCACCTTCAGTGCCAGCATTCCCTATAGCCGTGGATTCCAATCCCGGCTGCTTTACTTCCCATCCAGCTCCCCGCTAATGACCTGGGAAGTGGAAGGTGGACCAAGTGCTTGGGCCCCTGCGTGCATGTAGGAGACCTGGAAGAAGCTCTTGGCTCCTGGCTGTGGCCAGACCCAACTCTGGCCGTTGCGGCCATTTAGGGAATGAACCAGCAGATGGGAGACTGATCTTTTGCTGTCTCTCCCTCTCTTTCTATAACTGTGATTTTCAAATAAATAGATAATTAAAAAAAAAGAGACCTTCACTGTCTTGATTTTGATAAGCTCTACTCAAAAGTTTCTGTTCAGTTCCCCATTAACTTTAACCTTAAACAACCTAAATACAGAGATAATTGTTTAAAATAAAATATTACTAAGAAGAACTTGATAGACTTGCATGCATCAGAAAGAATACTCTCAAAAAAAAAAAAGGACCTGGGTACAGTGTAGGTAGGGTTGGCTTTTTTGTAAAGCAGTTTGGAGTGGAGGGCAGTGTTAGGGATCATCATGGAAATGTATTTAGTATCTGACGGTAACTAACAAATGATCATCTTCCAGATAGGATGCTGGAGCAGCAGCCTGTTAGTGGTGGTGACGTGTGTGACACCTAAACTTGTGTTTCCAGACGAGGCAAATGTCGATTAATAGGAACTCTGTATAGCGAGGCAGATGCCAGCTAGCATACAAGTGGGACACACCGCTGGCGAGGATGCTGGAGTCCTGGCAGCCAGGGGGTGCTTGTCCACCACGCGGCCTTCTGCAAGGGAGAGACAGTCGGTCGTTAGAGATCCCAGCTGTGCTGGATCCGGCTGCCCACCCTGTGGCTTATCTGAGCCAGAAGCTAGCCAGGACCCCACATCTGACGAGGACGGGGAGCTCACGGGTCCAACAGCTCCGACTACAAGAAACCCTGACTTCCTGAAAATCTTTCATCAGCAGTTGCCATGGCGGTGGTGTGGCACAGCAGGTGAAGCCGCCGCCTGCCAAGCTGCCATCCCACGTGAGCTCTGGTTAGAGTCTCGGCTGCTGTTCCCGATCCAGCTCCCTGCTAACGCGCCTGGGAAAGCAGCAGTGGATGGTTCACGTCCTTGGGCCCCTGTACCCATGTGCAGATCTGAATGGGGTTTTCTGGCTCTTGGCTTTGGCCTGGCCCAGCCTCAGTCCTTGCAGCCTTTTGGGGGAGTGAACCCGTGGATGTCAGATCTCTGTCCCCGGCAGACCCCTCTCTCTATCACTTTGTCTTTCAAATAAATAAGATAAACATTAATTATTTGCCCCGGGCCCATTGTTCACTTGCTCTTCCCTGCACTCTCTCACCTGGGAACAACACCAGCAGGTGGCGCCTTCACATGTAGGGAGGAGGGTGTGAGAAGACAGCACTATCGGGACCCCAAACTCCAGGAAGAAAACAGGGTCCCTACTCATCCAATCATTCAGCCTCCACTTACCTAATACCTATGCTGGGCCCACAGCTGACCCTCTGCCAAGTCACAATCCCTGTTTGGGTTGTTGGGGGCGGGGCGGCCCTTTGTACTCATTTCATTTGCTTCCTGGACTGGAATGCGTAACATCGTCCAAGGTCAGAAGCAGAAGAAGCTCTGAGCTTGGGGGGACCCAGACTGCAGTCAGGAGAGCACCCACTTCTTGCCTCCTCCAGATTCCCCAAAGTCAGCAAAAACCATTAGAGCAAAAAGGGGTTTGAGATCACTCAGCAGGGGGGCTGCACGGGAGCCTGCTGGGCGGGGCCAGGACCCCAGGAGTTTGTGGTTGGGGTGGGTTCAGATGGTGGCTCCCTCCACCCCACTCTGCGCCCAAGAGAGAGTGAGAGGGAGCCCCTCGGTGTCTAAGTCACTAAGTCTGCCCTTCTTTATCTTCCTCAACAGATGGCCACAGGCTAAACTGTCAGACAGACCTGAGACAGCTCCCTTGGAGAGGCCTGAGGGCTAGCCAGGACGCCCAGGTACCAGGGAGCCCTGCAGGAGGCAGTCCCCGGCTGGGGCGGGGGGACGGGGAGCCGTCTGCTTACCACAGCCAGGCAGAAAGGGCTGGGAGAAGCAGTGCAGCTCGCCTTGCCAGCACTTGCACATGGAGCACCTCTTGGGCAGCCAGGTGTCGTGGGGAACGCGCCCACAGTTCCTGAGGAGGAATGGGTTTCAGCTCCTGGCCCTGCCGCCCCCGCCCCGCCCGCCCCGCCCCTCCCTGCCCGGGCAGGGGCTCACAGCCTGTGCACTTCGCAGTTCCGGCCGGAGAAGGAGGGCGGGCAGGCACAAAAGGACCCCAGCATGCAGGTTCCGCCGTTCAGACAGCAGCTTTTGTTTTGCTGCTTACCTGAAAGGTGAGAAGAGTGGAGGGGGAGGGAAGCGTCCCAGGTCCCGGCGGTGCCCTGGCCTCGGGGTCTCCCCAATGCAACTCTGGCGGTGGCCGTGCCGTTTTCTACAGGTGCCTTTCGGCAGAGAGGCACCAGCCGGCAGTGGTGGCCCCGGGTCCCAGCGTGAAGTGGAGTCAGGTGCATTCCAGGGAGGTGAGGTACACCAGGAGGTGTCACTTTCCCTGCCAAGATCTTGGCCATTTCCCACCCAGCTCCAGCATCAGTGCCTCCCCCCACCCCCCCAGGTGAAATCGTGCTGAAACACACGCGGGAGACAGACGGGGCCCCAGGCAGGTAGGTCTTACTGTCCTGGATCCGCATGGAGGACACGAAGTGGGACGACCGGGGCCGGACCGCAGGCTCCTCCTGGGACTGGCTGCTGCTCCTCCTGGAAGCCAGGTGCCCCCGGGGCTGGCGTGCAAGCTCCCGATGGGGGTCCGAGCCTTAACGGAAAAAAGTGAAGTCTATTATTTCAGGCAGCGTGACGCCGTGAGCAGTGAAAACAAACTGTCTCTCACCAGCAGCGAATCCTAGGTCCAGCGCGAATCCCAGGTCCAGCGCGTTGGAAATGGCCATGATCAGAATCACACTGGCAGGAGGACATGATACGGCCATGAGTAAGACAAAGCAAATAGAACCTTCAGCTTCTCACGGGGCCCACTCATTACGGGGAGGCCACAGGCCCCTAAGGAGAGATTGTGGAACACTGCTTTGCTTTATCTTCTGGCCGAATGATTCTTGCAATAACCCAAAATGTAAACAAAAGTCACCAGTAGCCGACTCTTCACAAGACACACTGTTAGTTCTCAGGCCTTGCCTTCCTGCCTTCGAAATTCCAAGTGGGTATAAATCTTCAAGCACCTGTTTTGTATTGCGTATATTTTTCCCTCTACATGTAGCTTTTACTAAGCAATGTTAAAATGACTGTGTGGCATCCCCTATTATACCACGTGTTAGAAAATGCTTCATTTAAATCAATTTTCAAGTTAAAAAAATTTTTTCGTTTTGGCCATTATTAGCCTCTGCGGAAGTAGATTTTGAATTTGGTCTCAATATTGGCCTTTGTTTACACGAGAGCCCCCAGCAAAGCAGGAAGCACCTACCTGAGTGACCCTTGGAGCCTTTCAGGAGAAGCCTTGAACAAGGCGAACTGAAACCCAGAGCCGCATGCCACGGCTCCCCAAGCTGGCGACCTCACCTACCCCAAAGTTCACGTTCAAGGTTAGTGCATACCTGGAAGAGAGGCGCTCCATCTTCCCGCGGTCCACAGCTTAGAACAATTTAGGGAGGAGGGAAATGTTGCATGACTTCAACGCATAGCCATTGCTAATGTGCCCCAAGGAAAAACATTAATTTCCTGACATGCAAATAGCGACAGGAAAACCATCCTTGATGAGAATCGCACTTTCCCCTAGACGGTTTTACACGCAGCAGCCCAGAAGAGCGTCCTGGGAAACCGGGGGTCTCCGGCCGGGGTGAATGTTTTGACTTTGAGCTAGAGACTTCCCGGGGGGCCTTCCTTCCTTAACAAGGCCTGGGCGTGGCAGAGAGGACCTCGGTGGGCGGGGAGCGGGGAGGTGCAGCCTGGGACAATGACTACACCTGCGGGGGTCCGGGTGAGAGGTGGTGAAGCCACTGAAACAATGGAGAGAAAGGCAAAGGTACAGGCTTGTCAAACCCAGCCCTGGAGTCTGTCCCCAGCTGCGCTAACAGCACCAACTTTCCCCTTTTCGGGAGAAGGCGGCAAGCCAGTTACTCTTGGAAGCCGGCGACCTCGGGATGCAGCGGGGGCCAGTGGGAGCCGGGCCGTAGTTGCTTGGCCCAGGAAGCACCTTGTGTGGCTCTCTCTGGGGGTCTAGAGCTGACTGTCAAGTTCCATTTCTCAAAGTGTCCGTCTTTGTTTTCCCAAGACAGGTGTGTCGAGGCCGGCTGTGCTCAGCCCTGGAGGGGTTAGGGGTGGGAGGGCAAGGCAGAGGTTCAGGGTACGGAGCAGCTCCTGAGGGTTCCCGGCCTTGGTGTGAATTCCAGGCGGACTTGAATTGTGGGCAGAGGCTGCAAGGAAGCCGGAGCTGGCGCCAGGCGCCCGGGCGAGGGTCGGGGCGGGCGGGCGGTGTGAGTGTGTGGCCAGGGGCTGCTGCAGGAAAACCAGAGGCCATTCCAGCCCTGCCACCAGACTTTCCCTGGACTTTGTCTCCACAGGACCATCTCCTCCGCCCCCTCATGGTCCCGCCCCCGACTCCAAGAATTAAGGCCAAATTCCAAGGAGTCACGTGTTGCTCATCAGACAAGTGTCCCTTTGGTGCGTCCCTGTGCAGTTCATGAATCTCATTTGTTCTGACTGGCCTAATGTTTACCTACTGTAGCCAACACACACATGCTGTTTTTATGTAGCCCGGTTTCCACCCAGGGCTCTTCACTGGGTTGAGAGTGAACCAACTGGCACCATCTGAGGTTGTTTAGGCACTGGCATTTATCTATGTGAGGACAATTGACCTGCTGGGATTTGTTTCTGCACCTGATCTTGGGAAAAGTAAAATTATTTTTGTTGTGGGACAGGGCGCCCTTGGAGCCACGGTGGGACGGCAGGGGGCTACTCCTGGTCATGCTTCAGCCCCGCCTGGTGGGATCTTCTAACTTGGAAGCTGCAGGCCCCACCCTGGCATTCACAGGGGGACTGTGGGAGCCCTGGGGCTGCAGGAGACGTTCATTAATAGGGTCCATTGGTGGGCCAGGAAATCCTCTGCGGTGTAGATACTCCACGGACCTCACAACCAAGCCCACCGGGGGCTCTAACTGTCCTCTCCACAGAGGCGGAGGTGGCTGTGTGGCAGAACTGGGAACAGCCCGTCCCCACCCCCTGCACTGCTGCCTCCCTGGCTAACAGGCCTGCAGTGGGAATTTTAGAGCTGAACTAAGACCCCTGGAAGTCACCCCCTCGTTTCCAGAGCTGGGGAACCGAGGCCCCAAGTCTGGCGACGTTGGCACGGCCGGGTTGAGTCAGCAGAAACCCAAGGATGCCAACTTTCCGCACACCTAATTCCTTCTCTCTCGAGACCCCAAGCCACTGGAAAAGCTCTCCGCTACCCGCAGGTGCAGAGTACAGAGTGCAGGAGGCGGCTGGTGAGATGTTGGGGTAGGGAAGGAGGGAGGGAGGGGAAGGGCAGAGCACTGTGGCTCGAGCACCGGCCTGGGGTTGGGGTCGCCAGGGCTGCAGACGTCGCGGGTGTTTCATGTGTCCACCACTAGGTCGCCTGCGGACAGGGACTGGGCCCTGGGGACCCCACTCCGTGGTGCAGACACAGAAGGAAGAAGCACAGTAATTAACATAAGGAGTTGCTGTGGCTGCAGATAGGCCCCCAGGATGGCCACCGGGCACCTTTGCTAGGCCGATGCTGAAACAGGTGCAGGCCGTCCGCGGCCGGCAGGGCCTGCTCTGTCAGAGGTCAACCCTGCTTTGTCTGAGGTCAGCCCAGGACTGGGGGGTGTCGGGCAGTGGGGATTTCTCAGTCCCCGAAGTGTGCCTCCTCCCTTAGGAAGGACACTGAAGCTGAAAGTGAAAAACAAACTCTCTCTCTCTCTCTCTTTTTTTTTTGGTTGAGTTTCTTTTATATATATATATATATATATATATATATATATTTTATTTTATTTAATGAACATAAATTTCCAAAGTATAGCTTTGGATTACAATAGCTCCCCCCCCCCCCGCCCCATAACTTCCCTCCCACCCACAACACTCCCCTCTCCCACTCCCTCTCCCCTTCCATTCACATCAAGATTTATTTTCAATATCTTTATATACAGAAGATCAATTTAGCGTATATTAAGTAAAGATTTCAACCAAACAAACTCTCTTGGCTTTCCAAGGTCTGGGACTGCCTGGGGCAGGTTGGCCCTTGGCCTGGTGCTTCAATGCCTGGGTTCCATTACCCACCCCAGCTCCTGATTTCAGTTGCTGCCAAACAGATCCTGGAGGCAGCAGGGATGGGTCCCTGGACAGAGTTCCTGGCTTCTGGCCCCAACCCAGGCCTGGCCTCGTGAGGCAGAACACAAGAGCTCTCTCCGTCTGTTTGACTCTCCGTCTCAGTGCCTCCTAGAGGAATAAATTTTTAAAAAATTAAAAATAATGGGGCGGAGAGAGATGTGTGTTTAAAATCATGCAAATAAGCACTTGACTTGAAACCATTCAACCAACCAACCAAGGACAGTGGAACCAAAAAAATCACAATCAGAGGACAGACTTCCAAGGTCTGAAATTCAAGGAAGAAAACTAATATGGAGAATGAGATTGAGTTTACCATTAGGAAGCTGGTGTTGTAGCATGGCCGGTGAAGCTGCTGCCTGCACTGCCCGCATCCCACATGGGCACCCATTCGAGTCCTGGTTGTTCTACTTCCAGTCTAGCTCCCTGCTAATGGCCTGGGAAAAGCAGCAGCAGATGACCCCAGTGCCTGGGCCCCTGCACCCATGTGGGAGACCTGGAGGAAGCTTCTGGTTCCTGGCTTTGGCCTTGCCCAGCCCTGGCCATTGTGGCCATCTGGGGAGTGAACCAGCGACTGTCTCTCCCTCTCTTTCTCTCTGTGTAACTCTGCCTTTCAAATAAATAAAGTAAATCTTAAAAAAAAAAAGCCAATTAAACCTTGTTCCAAAGGTTGAGCATATATAGAATTAAATCCCAACTGAAGAGTTCATCAGAACAGCCATTTGTGCAGTGACAGTGTCAAGGGGACAGCCCAATTCCAAGGGCTTCTGGGGCACCTTGCATCTCACCTCTGAACATGCAGGCAACCCCAAAGGCGGGAGAGAGCTGAGGACAGGCTGGGGGAATCCGGGTACGGATGTGCTGCACCCTGCAGCGGAGGGCTTGGACTGGATGGGGGTGTGGGCTCTTTAATCCCATCAAGCTCAGCGTCCAACCACCTCTGAGTGGGTCACACTCCCGCTGGTATCAGTTAGCCACCCAGCGGGCCCTGGCTCATTCATTAACAAGTTAATGGCCTTCTGTTTTCACTGTTGAACTTCACAAACAGTAGCTGGAAACCTGTTCGGTGTTTGCCACAGGTCTCTGTGTGGGGTGTAGATGGATGGATTCCTGCTTTCAGAAATCTGCAGTCTCAGGGGGAACATAGACCCCAGCTATAAACCACAGCACTGGAAGGAATGAGGGGCTCAGGCAGGGGCTCCGTGGTTCCTGGGGGCAGGGGGTACATCGTGTTTTCTTCTTTATAGATCGATCATAAATTATTTTCCCAGTGAAGAGATGGGATGTTTCTACATTTTGCATACTTCCTTGTACACAGATCTAGCTTGATGAACGTGTATGAGCACATCCACCCAGTAAATTTCTGACATCAGAATTGCTTGGTTAAAGCGTGGAAGATGCCAAATTACTTTCCAAAAGGGCTGCACCAGTCTTCTCTCTCCCATGAATTTGTCAGCTCTGGCTGCAAGAGGCGTCTTCGTTTTGCTAATTCTACATGTGAAAAATAGCAGCATTTTGTCACAGTTTGGATTTGCGCTGCTTGCTGTGTTCGTTGGCTGAATGTGTTTCCTTTTCTGTGACTTAGCTGGCGCTTCTCACAGGGCACTTTCGGTGGCGTTTGTGAGCCAGCCCAGATGTCCCTTGCTCTGGGGAGCCCTTGCACACACTGGCTCCCCGTCTGGGCCTCCGGCTGTGCTGAGCCACACCTGATCAGTACTGGACTACCAGTGCTTGTTTGCTTGGCTTTCACCAACCCTTCCTTCCCCCTCTGTCTTGCTCCGGCCTGAGAGGAGTTGTTGATAGCCATTTGGCTACATCTCACCCCACCTGCCCAGTCCATGGCAGACTTCAAGTCTAAACCCCGCGGTGGGGGAGGGCCAGGTCTTTCAGAAGCACCCCAGGAAAACAACTGGCTTCTCCAACCATGGACTTGGAAATGCGACAGAGAGTACCATCCCCCACAGGGAGGGGAGGGACAGAGAGTACCATCCCCCACAGGGAGGGGAGGAAGACAAAGAGTCCGCCCTTGGCTGACAGGTGGAATTCAGGGTGATTTACCCAAGGGAGTCCACCGAAGACAAGGTACTCTAGCTGCACTGGCTCTTGGGATCCTGTTAGGGCAGGGCACGTCTGGGACTTTGAGATATGGCTGTGATTTAGAATTCTTCCTCATCAAAGTTTTTCCCTTTCCAGTGAAATTCGGCAGATATTTCCTGACCGGCCATTCTGCCAAAGCCAGGTGTGGGGAACAGAGATTGCCAAATCTGGGCTCCCTCTCACTTGAGATAAGACAAGCAAGCCTAGTAATCAAAGCCAAGTGTCACTGTGATGTGATCAGAAGGGAGGGACAGCCACTTCCTGCTGCCCCGCAGATGAGGCCGGGGCCAATGGACCCCAGCTGCCGGACTCCTAGGACTCCAGCTGCGGTCCCACTTGGTTTTCACAAGACCTGGCGAGGAACTCATTTAAAAGTGTTGTGTAAGTGGATTGTGGATTTGATTAGATTACATGGAGGCCTTCTTTACAGCTCTTAATGGTTTTGCAGTGGTAGGGGTGGGGACTGTCACACCCAAGCTGCCCTCAGAGGTGTCTAGCGAGATGTCCGAGATGTCTGCTCTGGTGTCGCAGTTGAGCCAGGCTGGAGTTCTGACCGGGGGAAGCTGTGGGATGACAGATGGGTGTTGGATTAAGCCTTGAAATTGTGAGGATCCATTATACAGTAATGGAAAATGAATATAAACACTTCTAAATTCTGTTATGGAAGTCAAGGATGCATTCATGAAAGTGTACAAATAACAAGAGCTGCGTGTGAATGAATTATTCCTGGGTAGCAGCACGCGACCGCCAGAGCCCCAGAAACTCACCTGGTGCCTCTTTACGATCACCACCTCACCACCTTCTCCCTCAACCATGAAGCTAACTAGTTTCTCGTTTGTATATTTTTAAAGAAGATTATTTATGTGAAAGTCAGAATTACAGAGAGAGAGAACGAGAGTGAGCGATATTGTTCACTTGCTGATTCACTCCCTAGATGGCCACAATGGTCAGGGCCAGGCCTAATCCAGGAGCCTGGAACTCCATTTGGCTCTTCTACGTGGGTATAGAGTCCCAAGGACTTGGACCATCTTCTGCTACTTTCCCAGATGCATTAGCTGGGAGGGAGCTGGATCAGAACCCACATTCATATGGGATGCTGACTTTGCAGGTGGTGTCTTAACCCACTGCCCTACAACACTGGCCCTAGTGATTTTGTTTTTTTCAATTTTTAGAATTTATTTTTATTTATTTGAAAGGCAGAGTGACAGGAAGAAAGATCTTCCATCTACTGGTTCACTGTCCAAATGCCTGCAGTAGCCAGGGCTAGCCCAGAACTCCATCCTGGTCTCCCACGTGAGTAGAAGGGACTCAGTACTTGAGCCCTCACTGGCTGCCTCCCAGGGTGTGCCATAGCAGAAGCTGGATTGGGGAGTGAGTATTCCAGGCAGAGCCTTAACCCACTATATCACAATCCCGCCCCCAGCTTCTGATTTCTAATAGCCTAAATTGTTTTTTATAGTTTTGAACTTTATGGAATTATAAATGCATACTTATTTTTGCTCCACATTATGTTGGTGAGAATTATTCAGGTTGTTTGTAGAAGTTTGGTCATTTCCATTGCTGTGTAGTATGCCATAGCATATGCTTCGATGATTTGGCACCATCTATTGAAAAGGTCATTCTCGTAACCAGCCTTTTCCATCAGGAATCAATTGTTAGTGTGTTTGTGAATTTGTTTCTCTATGTCATGTTATATTCAGATGGTCTGTTTGGCTCCTAATATTTTCCCATGTCCTTTAATGTAGCTTTTTAACAGTTGTGATACCTGGCACAATAAATCTCCTTTTGTTCATACTCAAGATTATTTTGGCCATCCTTGGCATTTATATTTGCATGTAGTTTTAAAGTCAGTTTCCAAATTTCAAAAACTTCTGCTGGAATTTTGATTGGCACCTATTATTTCTTTAAAGAGGACTTGGAATTAGCATTAGTCTCCTAGTCCATTAAGATTTACTTAGGTCTTATTTAATTTTTCCAGTAACTTGTATGTTTTTCTACATAGAGTTATAGTTTGATTTGGATTATTTAGATTTTAAAAATTTATTTAATTGTTTAAGAGGGAGAGATAGAAAGCTCCTATCATTGCTGGTTTACTCTCCAAACATCTGCAGCTGCCCAGATTGAAGCAGTCTGAAGTTAGGAGCCAGAAACTCAGCCCAGGTCCTCAGTGGGTGGCAGGGACCCAATCACTTACACCATTTCCTGCTGCCTCCCAGGTGCACGTTAGCAGGAAGCTGGAATTGCCAGTGGAGTCCGGAACCAGGGCACTGAGCTGGGTGGTGGGTATGGTTTCCCGAGTGCCGAGTGGGATTTTTTTTTTTTTTTTTTGACAGGCAGAGTGGACAGTGAGCGAGAGAGAGACAGAGAGAAAGATCTTCCTTTTGCCATTGGTTCACCCTCCAATGGCCGCCACGGTCGGCCCATCCGATGGCAGGAGCCAGGTGCTTCTCCTGGTCTCCCATGGGGTGCAGGGCCCAAGCACTTGGGCCATCCTCCGCTGTACTCCCAGGCCACAGCAGAGAGCTGGCCTGGAAGAGGGCAACCGGGACAGAATCCGGCGCCCCGACTTGGACTAGAACCTGGTGTGCCAGCGCCACAGGCGGAGGATTAGCCTAGTGAGCTGCGGCACTGGCCTACCCCCAGTGGGATCTTAACTGCTAGGCCAAACGTCCATTCCTCTTTTATTTGCTAAACTTCTCAGCCTTGTCTGTGTACACTATAGTGTGAGGGGTGTGGCCTCCATAAGGACTGCCCTTCCAATGTTAGCATCACAACAGTATCCTATTCGTGGACAGATCTTTTTCCTACTTAAGTATGATTAAGCTTTTAAATATGTAGGTCTCTTATAAATTGAAATAATATTTACGTAGGATCTGAGCTGAAACTGCCTTTTCAATTTCCATTGCTTGGTCCAGAATACCAGGAAAAAAACAACACCAGGCAGTACTCAAAGTAAACTCTGGTTGCTAAATAGCCTACGTCATTTATGAAGACAGAAAAATGAAAGTACTCAGTAATAAAAAAGCTCATTTAAGACTTTAGAGGTAAGAGTTAACATAGTCACAAAGATTCATTTGAGTTCGTAAAGATTTGAGCACTACTAACAAGTTAGTAGGCAATTTAAAGTCATTGTTTAATCGTAAATGGCAATAATTAATAAATGTCAAGAATGACAGATGTCATCAAACGCTTTCAAAGTGAAAGGATTTTGCAATTCGACTGTTTTCCTTTCAGGGTGAAGGTATACGGGAAGTCTCCAGCCTGCCCGGCTCTGCTGGGCTCCCAGGCCGGCTGGGCTCCCGGGGCTCGGGATTGGCCCTGGGCCGCCCCGCCCTGCCGAGTCTGCGGTGTCCGCCTCGGGGCTGAGTCACGCCGAATAGATAGAGAGTTTATCGGCGCGTGTCCTCCAGATCGTGTTCTGCGCTTACAAATATAGCGGCTGAGCGCACCGCTCGGAAGAGGCTCGGGGCCTCGCGCGTCCTTGCGGCCAGGGGTGTAAACAGCCTCGCCGCGGGACTGCAGCCCGCAGGACCCTGTCAGCTCCCGCCCGCGCCTGGGAGGTGAGTGGCCATCGTGGGGGCCGCGGTGTGTGTGCGGGAGTAGGTGGGAGCGGCTGGTGCTGCACCTGCAGCTGCTGGCGGTGGGGGGATAGGGGAGGGGGGCGCGGCGCGTGCGGTCCTCCGGACCCAAGCGCATACACAGCCCCAGCAGAACGCGGCCCCAGGGGCCAGGCAGTGATCTGCAGTGTGGGCCAGGGACTGGGACTGACAGGGAGGCAGGCGAACCCGCGGCTGGATAGGAGCCCCGCGAGCAGCTGCGGTTCCTGGTCATTGCCTTCCTCCCTACGCGCTGTCTGACGCCCGCCCGGGGCGGAGCTCCAAGGTCCTGTCCCAGGGAGATAAATCAACTTTGTTTGTGTCCTCTTTGGGGGCCCTGAAGTGCATGATTGACACCTGCCGGGGCAAATGCCTCCCGCTGGCTGGAGTGGGAGTGGGAGTGGGGACAGGGTGCGGGTGGGGGTCGGAGGGTGGTGTGGCTGGCAGGCAGCCTGCAGCCCCCTCTGCTGGCCTGGCAAAATTGAGCGCCCAGAGAGTGTCCTGGAGTTAACCTCAGGCCCTCTCTGCCCGTTGTCTTATATTTAATTGGTGGCTATGAATGGTCTTAATTTCTTTAAATAGTCACCCTTCCTTCAGCCTCCCTGGGTGCCAGGTACGCTCTTAAGCACTTGGCACAAATGATCGCAGTAACCTTGTCATCAAGGCCGTGAGCTTGGTACTGTTGTTGCATTGTGTCCCCATGAGAACACCCAGGCAGGCCACGTTCCCAGGAGGCAGGATTCCAGCCTGACTCAGACGCTGTTCTCTTAATCCTACCTGTTCCCTCACCTCCCGTGCCTGATTTTCTGTTTTAACAAATTATGGTAAAAAAAATCATCAGCTGTCCCTGGGGAAAATGTAATTTAATTCAGGGTTCGGCTGAAACATTGGGGCTACGCTGACCTCACTTGAAGATCTGACCCCTGTTTACGTGGAGGTGTCTATCAGAGAAGTGGCTCTGGGGTCGGCTCCGGCCTCAGGAGGGGTGGAGTGGCATTTGTGAGTCACTGGGGGCTCCTTGTCCCTACTGAACCTGAGTGTCCCCAGAAAGTCCACTGGCTACAGTCATTCCTTTGCATCCAGTCAGCGTCTTCCTGACCTGGGGTTCACACTTGGAAGGATCTTGTGCAAGGCCTGGAGCTTGGCAGCCCAAGGGAAGAGGGTACCGGGGGCTCTCGGGGCATGGGGGACCTGGGAGCCGACCTCTCTCTCTCCTCGGCGGGCTCAGGTGGTCCTGGTCTCCGCTCCCCAAGCCTGGCAGGGAGTGCTGGAACCCCGCCTTCACCTCTTTTCCCCCAGGTCCTTCCTCTGGCGCTGCCACCCCACACCCCCAGCCACCAGTCCAGTCTGTCCCAGGATGGGAGGGAGAGGACCAAGTGAGCAAGGGGTGCCCCCTCCCCTGGCATGTGACTTCAGAGTGGAAATTCGCGCTCTGTGCCAGGGGACACATTTTTTCCAGCCATGCCCTCTGGCTCCGGAGCAGGTGGTTCATCTGTAGAGCGAACCTGATGTTGCTGGATTGGGGAAGGGTACAGAAAGACCTTCCCCCACCTGTGCAGAGGACCCCTTCCTCCTCACGGGCCTGTGGGGCCACCCACAGGGACCACCAGGGCGCCCTACTCTCTGGCTCATCCAGCCGTCCTGTCCTGTCCCGTGTGTGCTGTGTGGACCTGAGACACTGCCCATTGTGCACACAGGAAACTCGGAGGCATGGACAGCACCTCCACTGTGTTTCTGCAAGTAACAGGTGCATGGGGACGTCAGTTGTTCAGGGTCTGCAGGAAGGGCAGAAATGCACACCAGGTAAAGGGTCAGTTCGCTGGGCCTCTGAGTCGAGGCCCTAAGCAGGAGCCTGCCACCGCAGCTCTGCCCAGCTCTGTGGGGGGATTGGATGAGGGGACAGCGAGCCCCTCCAGCTCCTCCCGCCTGGGGCTGTGCAGCCTGCTCGGCGTTGGGCAGCTGTGTTGATGGAACTGCCTGCGGGGCTGCTCCTCTGGCTTGGTCCAGAGACAGATGAAATAGAATGGAAAGCCATCAAGCAATTCAGCTTGCACTGAGTGCTGTGAAGTGAAAAGGCGAGAGAGAGAGAGAGAGAGAAAGAGAGAGAGGGAGAGAGGGAGAGGGAGGAACAGGTGGCAGAGGAGGCAGACATCGGGGCTGTGTTCAGGGGATGAGGGGAGGGAGCAGCAGGTGCTGAGCTCTGAGGGGCAGAAGCTTGGGGTGGAGGCTGAGGTGGTGCATGGAGGAGTGAGACGGGGGCCGTCCTACCTGGTTCTTGCTGGGAGGTGATGCTCACCGCTGAGTGGAACATGGGGTGGACGGCAAGTAAGGGTAAACGGACAGCCAGGCTGGCAGCTAGGGGGCTCTTGCACAACTGAGGCAGCAGGGGCGCTAGCGGTGGGAAAAGTGCACACCCTCCAGCTCTGTGCCATCCCTGGGTGTGGCTGTGTGTGTGTTGGGGGTAGACATGGGTGCATGGTCCCTGGGTGTGAATGAGTGTGTGTGGGGTGTAGACTTGGGTGCATGGTCCCTGGGTGTGGATGAGTGTGTGTGGGGGTGTAGACGTGGGTACATGGTCCCTGGGTGTGGATGAGTGTGTGTGGGGTGTAGACGTGGGTGCATGGTCCCACGGTGTGGATGAGTGTGTGTGATGGTGTAGACATGGGTGCGTGGTCCCTGGGTGTGGATGAGTGTGTGTGGAGGTGTAGATGTGGGTGCATGGTCCCTGGGTGTGGATGAGTGTATGTTGGGGGAAGTATAGACATACGTGCATGGTCCCAGGGTGAGGATGAGTGTGGGGGGGTGTAGATGTGGGTGCATGATCCTGGGTGTAGATGGGTGTGTGTGGGGGGTGTAGACATGGGTGCATGGTCCCTGGGTGTGGATGGGTGTGTGTGGGGTGTAGACATGGGTGCATGGTCCCTGAGTGTGGATGAGTGTGTGTGTGGGGTGTAGACGTGGGTGCATGGTCCCTGGGTGTGGATGAGTGTGTGGGGGGTGTAGACTTGGGTGTGTGGTCCTGGGTGTGGATGAGTGTGGGGGGGGTGTAGATGTGGGTGCATGGTCCCTGGGTGTGGATGAGTGTGTGTGGGGGTGTAGACGTGGGTGCATGGTCCCTGGGTGTGGATGGTGTGTGTGTGGGGATGTAGACATGGGTGCATGGTCCCTGGGTGTGGATGAGTGTGGAGGGGGTGTAGACTTGGGTGCATGGTCCCTGGGTGTGGATGAGTGTGTGGGGGGGTGTAGACGTAGGTGCGTGTGCACAGAATGGTGGGCACAGGGCGAGGAGTGACCTCTGGGGAATGACGGAGCAGGTGGGGAGCTCAGGGTGCCCAGGAAGGGACAGACCCTGTGGGGGTACGTGGAGGCCTCCTGCCTCTTGAGAGCATCGGCGTTACCAAGGACGCCAGCGTCAGGCTGGTCTCTAGACGCGCCTCTTACTTTAACTCTCCACAGTCTGCGTGATTTATTGCTGCTAACAAATCACCCCAAACCTGACAGCTCACAACTGCACATATTTTATCCCTCTGTCTCTGAGGGTCAAAGTCTCGGTGGCTTACCTGGGTGGTTCTGGCTCAGGGTCTCACGGAGCTGCGGGCAGACAGTTGCCGGGACTGCAGGAGCGGCTTTGGCTGCAGCCACTGACACGGCTGTTGGTGGGCGGCCCCTGTTCCCATCTGCGCAGCTTCTCCACAGGGTCGCTAGAGCGTGCCCGGATCCTGAGGCTGATGTCCCCCGGGGTAAGTGAGCTAAGCGGGCGGGCGAGTGAGTGAGCAGTACTGCTGGGTTCTAGCCTGGGAAGTCACCCTCCATCAGAGTTACAGAGAGAGGTAGAGACAGAGAGAGAGAGGTCTTCCATCCTCTGGTTCACTCCCCAGATGGCTGCAACAGCTGGAGTTGTGCCGATCTGAAGCCAGGAGCCAGGAGCTTCTTCTGGGTCTCCCATGTGGGTGCAGGGGCCCAAGGACTTGGGCTATCTTCTATTGCTTTCCCAGGCCATAGCGGAGAGCTGGATCGGAAGAGGAGCAGCCGGGACTTGAACCGGCGCCCATATGGTATGCGGGCACTTCAGGCCAGGGCGTTAACCTGCTGTGCCACAGCACCGGCCCCTCATGTTCTTTCAATAGGAGAGTATCCTTAGGCTCCACTCACGCTCAGGGGAGAGGAACTAAGCTCTGATGTGTTTTTTAAAAAATATTTATTTATTTGAAAGAGTTAGAGAGAGAGAGAGAGAGAGCAAGTGCTTCCATCTGCTGCTTCATTCTCCAAATGGCCGCAATAGCCAGTGCTGGACCAGGTCGAAGCCAGGAGCCCAGAGCTCCGTCGGCGTCTCCCACATGGATGGCAGGGGCCCAAGCATCCAGGCCATCTTCTGCTGCTTTCCCAGGTGTGTTAGCAGAGAGCTGCGTGGACAGCAGAGCAGCCAGAACTCGAACCGTGGCTCTGATGCTGCTGCCATATGCGGTGGCTCAGCCTGCTGTGTCACAGCACCGCCCACCCCACCTCCCACCCCCGAGCGCCAATTTATTAAAGGAAAGAATGTGAACGAACGTATGGGTGTAGCTTAGAATAGTCAAGTCCACCAAAGCAAAAGTATTTCCTGTTTTATTGTCTGCTACAGCCAGAATCAGCAAGTGGTAACCCACAGGGCTGGTACCCGAGTCTGAGGGGCACGTGGGCCTGCTGGGGCAGGCTGGGGACCGGGCTCAACGCCCCCTCCACATCTGCCTGGCCACTGGCTGCAGCCCAAGGCCACTCTGCCTGCTCTCCACACTCTGAGACTAGTGCTGGTGGCTGGCAGGCACCAAGTGGTGGAATACCAGCTGGGGAGTGACCTTGCCTCCCGCCGGCTGTCCCCTGAGATGCCCGGGCAGAGGAGGACACGCAGGCATCTATCCGGGGGGCCCTGGGGAACAGAGTGAAGCTGGGTGCAGCAGGCTCCCACCCTCTGCTCACCACACCTG